GGCTCTGGATAAAGCAATGACTGAGTAATGATTCACTAATGGCAAGACACTTAACCCTGACAGAGTTTTTTTTTCAATTGTGAGCCTGGCTGACCAAGAGAGTTTTAGCTAAAATCCAGGATCAATAGCTTAAACAGTTTGATTTTCACACATAAAAGCATGTATCAGGTCTCATGTTCAATGGGGTTTTCTCACAATGTGGGGCAGACCTAAGGAAAACAAAATAACTGTACTGTAAACCCTTTGTTGCAATCTTCAACTACATGTAAATGACTAATTTTATGATTCTCTCATGATAATTAACTCAGATTTTTAACTACCTAAACCTCAAAAATTGTCAATAAACTCAGAAGTTAAAGTGGGTACAGGTGAAGCAAAGGAAAGCCTTCATGAAATGTGCAGACACATGTATCTGTACCCTGAGATACAATAATTAATCAATTTTATCTCCACCTCCAAAGGTGTGAGGGTTGTCAAGTCTTTACATTAAATTTTACTTCCTGGTACAGGCAATTTATACCATTTGAATGATTAGCCAAAACAAGAACAGAAAGCCACTGCCTCTGAAACACCTTACCAAAAGCAAGTTGTAGACAGGTTCTATAGCTGCTTTGATATTTTCATCTGTCAAACCATGCGGTGACATTTCTGCACACAATTTCAATATCTCTAGCTTGACATCTTCACCATCAGAAGTGACCACCTCATTCAGCTTTGGTAAAACACTCTCAACAAAGTAAGTGAAAAATGTCTGGGCTGAAGCTCCTTTCTACAGAAAAAAAGAGAAAACATTCCCTCAGAATTCCTCCTTGCATCAAAACCATCTGATGGCACTGATGACACAAGAGGTACACACTCTCTCCCTCTCTCTAGAAACCATAAACAAAAAATGACAAAAAGATGCTTTAAAACTGCCTTACACATACAACATAAGGCTGACTGCTTTATTACAATTTCAAAAAGGACAGTATTAATGGTATTTTTTTGGAGCCTATAGTAGACTGTATTCAGTCTGGAAGTCTAACAATGTGATAGTAAACTTTGCTATGTAACTGACAATTAGACTTTCCCTCAGATACAAAACAAGAGGAGCACTACAGCTGAAAGAAGTCAACCTCAGAACCTCTTACAGTTGTAGTCACTCTGAGACAAGGCTCTTCTGCCGTGACAGTTTCTAGGAACTTACCACAAAATATGGAATTGCTTGTCTGGCACATGAAATGAATCTGTCAACAATATCAGCATCTCCAGGCTGAAAGTTAAAGTAGATCAAAATACAATCTATCTATATATCATCTTAAGTAAAAAGCCCTTCAAATTCAATTACACTGCAGTTGGTCACACTTTTAAACTGTTGTTGGATTGAAAGGATCAACATTTAGAAATAAATAATGTCTTAAATATGCATTTATGATGCAGAATCCTTTTAACCTACAAGTTAACATGTTGTAGTGATACTTTATTTCAAACCTGTATCACCAAGTTAAATTTGGCTTTATTAAGTATAACACCCAGATCTTGGATCAAAATATAAAGTAGAGATTTACCTGGAATGGTTGGCTTAGTTCAGCTTGTTCTCCAACTATATCTGCAAGATCTTGGTGTGCACTGCCCATTACTTTTAATGAGGAAAGAATGGTCATAAATGTGCGAAATTCCTCACCAGTTACATCTGCCATAGCCTGCAATGAAACAGTCAATCATTTCAAAACAAGAAACAGACAAAATTAGTAACAATCTGATAATGTGAACTTTCTGTTTATCCAAATAATGGCTGTGGTCTCAGAATGAAGAGGATGAAAACATCATGACCAGTACAACAATGAAAACAATGCAGTTGTTTGCCACTTTCTTCAATAATGGCACCAACATACATATGCATGCTGTCTGTCATTTAATTAGCCGAGAGATTATCATCCTTGACCACTGCATTTCATACCGGGATAAATACAAGTGTAATTATAGCACTTTTCAAAGAAGGGTCAAAAGCCATCCAGGATTGCATTTCTGTTGTTCTACTATGCTCTATAGCTTGTTGAGAAAACTTGTTCAACCCTCTGAATCAATCAGATGCAAAAATGAAACCTCTTAATTATCAGTGGCAGTGGGGGAGGGGTTTTTTTTTCCCCAACTTTTGAACTACACTGTACAAACCAAAGAATTGTTTTTTTTCTTTTTTGCTTTTTGCTCTATTTATATACACTTTAGTCTAAATAAGTTAGGAAATGTTTCAAGACAAGTAAATATTAAATACTTCAAGTTAGGGGGTGACATGCAATCCTGTGGTTGCAATAATTTTAGTGTCAGACAAGTACATGTGGTAATAAAAACAGATGGGAATAGGGGAGGGGTTCCCCTTGATCCACCAATTTTTATACTTTGAGTTCTAACACCTTGTGATACTATATTTACCTTTTCACTGGTTGTTAACATTAATAACTTTCATTTTGGTTTCACAAAAGTGAATCAATGTGAATTTCTTAACTGCCAATACAACATTGTTAACCAAGAACCTGTAGTTAAAGCAAGCCTGACCATCTGACCTTTTTTATCTCTTCAACTAAGTATTCTTCAGTTTCGGGTGAGGGATGTAACACTTTCTTGCCATACTCTTCCACAGCACTACTTAAAAACTTGATAGCACTCTCTCTTGATGCTTCCTCTCCACTGAGAATTTGTGAAAACAGTCCTCCAATTGTTCCTGGACCATGAAAGAGGTTTGAAAAAAATTACAAAATAATAAGATGATCAAAAGTTATCAAAATTGTTTAAAATTGAATTCAAGTCAGTCAAACTAGGTTTATTTGCAATTTTCTTTGCACAAAAATAATTATAAGTCATCTGACAAATGGGAAAATACAAAGTAAAAATGCTGAAATAATTTTAATCTAACTCTATTTTAAACTATAACATACTATAGAGCTTCACCCTTTTTAATACTTTACAATGGAGCAACATTTCTTATTTGTTTCATCTTAGAGCACCACTGTTGAGTTTCAAATGGCATTGAAACCTTACTGTAGAGCGAGAGAGGGAAAACGTATTTTAATTGAAAAACTTACCTTTTGGTTCCATTTTAAACAGTGATGTGAGAGCATTTCTGACAATTGTTAATTCTGCAGGATCCTCTGAGAAAGAAATGTTTACAAGGCACAGTTTAGATCACCCTATACAAACCCCTTTAGCTTTTTAACCCTTTACACCCAACATCAGTATGCATATTCTCCATACTTTTCTTTATACATTTTTTAAGGTGCTAACAAGGAGAATTTGTTTAACAATCAAGAGCTTCTTTAGTTGGCAATTGTTTCCGTTAATCTCATGACCTTAATGTGTGATTCAGAGTGATATTGTAAGGAGAAATCACATGCTGGTCACTTCTCAGGATCTAAGGGTTGAGAAAACTTTCAAAACAATGATTAAGGATAAAAAAAAAAGCTTTTGTATCAAAAGATTCTCATAAAAATGCAATATAAATTTAAAAGCACAAGAACTGTATATATTTGTTAGGTGTTACCTGACAAAATATGTAGACTTTACATATCCACTTTAATTCAAATTATCACTACCTTTATAAGCATTTAGTTAGAAAATTGTTATGTTACTCAATACATGCCCATTCTTACACTTACCTGACTGCAATAATTGGGTAAGTACATCAGCTATTCTTGGCAGATGTTCTGGAGTGTCTTTGCAGAGGTCTGGCAGACCTTTTATGGCCTGGCGTCTGATCTGGTTATATAAAACAAAATATACTTGACTTACTAGGTAAAAAATCTACATAGTACCTGTAAGTATACAAACTTAACATTCTGCAACTTGGAGGGTCTGCTTTACACTACATGTATCTGAATGCATTTTCTCATGAACAAGTGATGAGAATAGAAAACTTATCTGCAAGAAAATATTTAGGTAACAGACGGCGCTCCACTGGTTTTTTGACTTAATAACCCACAAGGTAGGTTAAAAGATCACAAGAAAAGTTTTCTTTTGAGTGTCCTCCCAACATTCCAAGTGGGTTAATATATAAATTTGGTAAACCGATAGAAAGTGTGGTCTATTGCTTCCATATTTTCTTACTGATAAGGTTTCTGTTGTCATCACCTGTTGTCATCACCCATACAATAGACTATAGGTTTTTGACCAATCAGAGTGCTTGTAATATATCAGTAATCTAATAACATTCTGATAAACACCAAATTATCCCTAGCAAATGAACAAGGAAATGAATTATGGCTGGAATGAAGAATCACTATTCATATCTTGGGAGTCAATGAGTTAACGGGTCTTACTGTGTTGTCTTCATCCTCGCACAAATCCAGCATAGCATCTATAGCGTTCTCCTGCAGCTTGGGAAAGAACTTGAAAAATCTGGCTATAAACTGTGATGCCAGACGCTTCTCCGCTTGTGAACCCTTTACAGCAGCCAAAATTTGAAGAAAGGCTCCCTCGTGCTGTTTAAGACAAGAGTGTGTGAAAAAACTAAAAAACAACAACAACTTGACATGCAAATCCACGTGACAAAACAGCGCCATGTTGGATTGAAAGTATTCATGAAAGTGAAGCTAACTCACCTCTCCGGCTTTCTCGTTTGCATCAGCAAGGATTCCAAACTGCTTGTAAAGCTCTTCGACACCTGCCATATTGATGGGAGCGTCAGAAGAAATGAAAGTACGCTGTGCCACAATTTAGATAAAAAAGTTTGAGAAGCTGACCTGGGCTTAGGGTCCGCGCCTAGCCTCGCTTTAAAACTGCGTGGCTTTGAGAGGAATATAAACTTCTTGGGGGAGGAGATCTAAAATAGGAAAATTCTTATTATTCCTACAAAATTTTTCTTGAGTTGTGACTTAATCAAAAAAGAAATAATAATAAATATTTCTCATATACTTTAATACGTCGTATAATTTCTGGCGCAAGTTCGTCACAACTGTGGCTTCAGTGATGTCCAGTATGAGCCCTCCCCTGTTAGTAATAAGTTTTCCATACAGAAGTTACTATAAAAGAGCAGCACACAGAAAGCGAATATCAGAGAGTCGTGTTGGATTCATTCGTATCGCTGATCGTGGTCACGAAGAACGATAAAGATGGCAAATAATGTGACGGGAATCTTTCTTCGAAAAGAAGTCGAGGAACTGCGTAAAAAAGGCGAAGACTGGGGTCTCAGCAAAGAACAAATTGACGAAGCGATTCTTCGAGCACTCGGAGGTACAATTTGCAACCTGCCTCGTTTATCTTTATAACATCTGGAATGGTCTATATCCTTTATTTTTCTTCAAACGCTTCTTAACTTTAAATTTTCGAGAACATTACGGAAGGCAGGCTAATTTTTCATAAGAAATACTAAAAAAAAAGTGAGATATCGGGAAAAATCTATACTGAAAGTGAGGGAAATAAAAGTCAGTAAAGAAAACTGAGTAGGCTTCCTTGTTTACATTCCAGTTCCAGTGTGATCATGGGCCATCCTTAGAAACTTCTGTGAAAAAGGACGTTTAATTTCAAGCATTTCATCTGCATGAAATTAGTCGTACCATATTATGTATGGTAGAACCAACTTCGTGTCGATCAAGCGCTTGATCAGTACAATGCATGGAAGCAATATTCTCACTGTTCAATAAATGAGCCAACATGAGATCACCTGCGTGCGTGAAGACGTCACAGTAAACCTGTGTTGTTAAAATAAGATTTTTGTGTATAAATAAGGGCCATTCTAAAAAAAAGAAAGGCCATTCTAAAAAAAGAAAGATTTCCGTATAACTATAACTATTAATAAACAAGGCTGTGGTCCGAAAGGCAAAAATTTTTTTTGCCATTGTTTTCTTTCTCTAAGAACTGTATACATAATTAAGTATGGGGTCATGCTAAAATCTTGCCTTTAGGGGAATGGGGAATAACATTGTAGGTAGTCTCTAGTCCAAATTTACCTGCAATTAATTTGGTTTTATCGATTGAACAGATATGCAAATTGACCACTGTAAAGAGTTCCTAAGCTGACATTTTGAATGTTGGCCCTTTGTCAGGCATTTAAATTTTCATGACTTTCATTTTTATTCACCTTGAATTAAGGAATCATTCAGCCTACTGAATTTCTTACTTCAGATGCTAGTTAAGAACTTGAAAGAGTTAAAAAGTGGCCTCAGTCATCTTTGGGGATAGGAAGTAGAAAAGATTGAGTGAACTGAATTTGAACTTTGCATTCTCCTTCAATACTTCCTCAAGATACTCCTGTGATGTAACAATAACAAAATTCAAACTTGAACACATCACAAACTTCCTGAGTGTGAGGGTTGCAAAAAAACACGTATATGATACAATATATCTGTGCTAATAATGATAAGAAACTATAAACAGGTTTACTATCTTCTCAACAAATCTTTAAGGCACAAACTGAATGTATTTCTTCATTTACAGAAAGATCTTCCTCAGATTCTAAGAATGGAGGCAAAACCAAGGCAAAGAAACGCAGTTGTTTCAGTGTCTGTTTAAAGGTTACAGTGTTCGTGATGCTGTTGCCCATTTTTCTCTACACTGCACTTACAGTGATTTCTGTAACAAACTCATCCTTTGCACTGTACATTGGGCAATTGACTGCTGATTACCAGTATCCACTGCAACGTATGATTCGTTTCGTGGTGTTACCCCTGCATCAGTTCTATGACTTTACAAAACTGGGTGCTTGGGACTGCATGGTTGACAACCCTTTGTATGTTCCAGGTATGATACCATCAAATACATTTGATTTGCTCAGCTTTGTAAATTATTTGTGTAGTTTTACTACTTACTTGAATTTTTTTGTGTAAATTAGAGTATGAACTTGAGATTTCTATCATGTGTTACAAGCACCCTGATTGGTCAAAAACCCATCATTTATTGGACTGGTAAATCACTTGGCTCCAGCTTGTGATTTTCAAACTTTTCTTATGTTCTTCCAACATCCCAACTGGGTTATTATGTCTGTAAACCAAGAGAAAGTGCACTCTATTGCTTAACCCTTTACAATCTAACATCAGTATGCATATTCTCCATACTGTTCTCTAAACATTTCCTACAGTGCTGACAAGGAGAATTTGTCTTACAATCAAGAGCTTCTTTAGTTGGTGATCAGTTCCTTTATTCTCCTGACCTTAATGTTTAATTCAGGGGTGATGTTATAGGGATAAATTTGATGCTAGTCACTCTTAGGATTTAAAGGGTTAAGTGGTTGATTCTAGCCTTGCCCTGGTCAACTTTGAGGCTTAGAAATGGCAGGCAAAGAACTCAATTTTTCAAATCAAAATATACCACAAGTAGTTTTTCAAAACTTAATAACAGCATGCTTATGTTTTGGTTTTATTTTGTTTATGACCTCATGGACATGCTACTCACTTAACTTGCTATCTATCATAGCGTAGGTAGTAAGTAGCGGAGTCAGTGAGATTGTAACATTTGCAATAGAATTCTAGGAGATTTTAACCAGTTATTTACATGTGTTTATTACATTTTGCATTTTGTTGGTAGCCTGGCTAACTGGATTTGTAATCTGCTGGTCACAGCTACAAACCCTCAATCCCTCCAGTCATTGGATTTGTTCTCTGTTTCCTCTGAGTTTCTTTGCTATGCTCAGTAAAAAGTCAACAGAGTAATTTGGTTTTAGCAACTGAGTTGATGATATAAAGTTAACCCACTGTTAAGAGTTTCAAAGCTGATATTTCAAGTGTTAGCCCTTTGTCATTTACTGTTACAAAGTGTTAAGGCTTGAAATGTCAGCCTTGAAACTTTCTGCTGTGTCCAATTTACATTATCAACTCAGTTGATAATATCAAATCACCTTTTTATACTCTCCAACCAAGACACAGTTTCATTAGAAACTTCTCCCCTTTATGAAAGAGTCAACTTGTCTACTTCCTGTCAGTTTTGGTTCTAAACCATAATGTTTTTGGCAGTACTCATTCATTATCCACACTGGCACTGTTTTCATTATCATCATCATTCTTATTTTTATCATTTTTTTTTATTATTGTGTTTTCTCTAGAAAAACCTGATTGTGTACTATGCAGTGATGTGAAGACAATTGCCAGCCGAGCCAGTGCAAATCTGACCAAAGCTGCCTTCAAGAAGCGATTTTATGATACTGCGTCACCTGTTGTGGTGAGGGACATGCCTGGTTATGGTGATACTGAGCACAGTTTTGAAAAATTCATGGAATTTTATCATACCCATCAAGCAGCTCTGGAGGAGGATACATGCGAGTTCAGGAAAAATGGAGTTAATAATGAATCACTCCAAAATATAGCAGAATTTCTTGGGAACTGGAAACATTACCAGCCCAATGGAGAAATAATAGGGTGGTTAGTATACTGTAGGGATCACATAACTTTTTACTATGGTTTAACCCTTCAACTCTCAGAATCGATTAACATGTAACTTCCCTGTGAATATATGAAAATCATATATGTGAACTGCAGTTAAAGACATAAATATGAAAGCAATCTTTGTGGTAATAAACGTTACTTCAGAAGTAATGAAAAATAAGGCCTGAAAAAAATTCAGCAAGATTGCTTTCATATTCATGTCTTTATCTGCAGTTCACACTTATGATTTTCACATATTCACAGTCATTTATTCATCACTACACGGGTTTATTTGGAACAAACATAATGACTAGCTCTCAGTTGGCTTGTCAGCTCAGTTAGTAGAGCACTGCATTGGTATTGCAGAGATCATGGTTTAAAATTCCATACAGGCCTGAATTTTTTTTCAGGCCTTATTTTTTCACTACTGCTCAAGTAGAGTTCATTACTGTGAAGATTGCTCTCACATTCACATAACTTCCCCTTACAACTCCAATGAGCTATCTTGTAAGTAGGTTTTAAGAAAAACAGTGAGAGAAGGTTATCAGCTACAGGGTGTTATTTTGGAATACAACCAATTTTTTGTCTAATTTGCAAGGAAAAGTGTAGCAATAAGTAGGGAAAATTACCAACTGGATCTTGGAGTTTAAGGTTTAAACAGTGAAGGTTGTATAAAGGTAATCCATGCCAGTATTTACAGGTGTTGGACTCATGCAATATTGGTACAATATTTTTCCTATAATGGTATCTGCCAAAGGGCATAGTAAGGGGTAGGTCCTGAGTCCCCATGAAACTCCCTGTTAAAAGATGGTCTTTTTTTTTACTCAACAACACATGGACCTTATATTTCAGGTAAGTAAAAAGGGCAATTCAATGACTCTACATGCATGAAAAATGTTGCTTTTCGTAAAACACAGCTTGGATGATGACGTGACAGTAGTGTTGGTAGTCTGGATGTGACTTAGAGTGACCCCCCTATGAAAAATTGTACCTATGCCTCTGTTGTCGTAGAGGGGTTTGCTTCATTGATATAAGTTTAAACATCATTGTTTCTCTCTTCATGAAAAAAAGAACACACCTTGACTAAGAATACTTTATACTTTTCAGGAAAGTTTGCTATGGACAGGGCTTAAGATTGTTACGATCCATGTTTCCTCGCCCTTACTGTATCCATAGTGAAGGTGCTTTGGACAAATGGGTGTATCTCTTACAACCAGCCCATGAAATAACAGAAAGTTCCACTCAGCCAATGATAATGACAGAGGTGGTACGTATGTCAATATTTGTTCAATGATTGTGAGACAAGAGTCCTGTTGATGATGTTGTTTGAACTTATCCATGCTGTACTCTTTCCTGTTATTTGCTAGGCACAAGGCACGTTTGACAATGTGTGGATGGCCCAAGTCACTGGTTCAGCACATGTGGTTCTTGAGCCAGTCGAGGACTGTGAAGACAAGTGTGAGAAGTTTGAGTTTACACTGAAGCAAGGAGATGTCTGTATGTGTATTTGAGTACTATGAATACTTATACTCCATGCCTCTAACCTTTACTACTTTGAACTCCCCTAAAATTTTATATAAGTCCTGCCTGCATCTTTACATGTCACAGTTTACAGTTCACATTTAAGTCTTTAGGAATAATGTTCTCCAGATTTTTCTAAATAGTTGGAGGGTGAGGTGAGGTGAGTGGTGAGGGCCACAGGAAAATAACATCCGTCTCAGAGCAACTTTGATAACTTGACAATGATCATGAAAATCCTAACAACATGGGCATTTGCGTGCATGACTGCACAGCTCCATAAAGACACCTAAAAAAAATTTCCTGCCTGGCCTTAAGAAGAAATTTAATAATTGTACCTTTGATTGGGTAACTTTGTCCCCTCCACTTGAGAACCATTGTTACATGTCTCCTTTCCTGAAATGCAGCTATATTGCAGAGATGATGTTATTCCTTTCTAGGTGTAAAGTACACCTGTTTTACTTATTCTAGAGCATGTTTCGTGTCATGTCCAACAAGTTTCTTGTTCATGTTGTTGTCAGTCCTTAAAAAGATTTTTTTGCTGTTTTTTCCCATTTAGTTTTCTTCTCCCAGCATACTTGGGTGGTCAATTTTCAGAATCAAGGGAAGGAACCTGCGATGATCTTCACCTCTTCATTTGCATGAAATAATGCCTGACGTAATGCTCGTGTGTTGGTGAAACAAGTGATATGTTCAGTGAGAATAGCTACGGTTAAAATAAAGAAATGAAAATTTAGCTCTGATGACATCTTTTTTCACCTCCCTTTCTCCGCTAGTCTTTTGGACAAGGAAAACTAAAGGTTTTCGCCCTCTTGTTTCCTTGAAAACGAACTCTGCTTAAGACTCCTGTTGCCAAGTTACTCCTGGGCCAAGTTCTTCGAAGGCCGATTAGCACTAACCCAGAGTAAAATTTTAATCCAGGTTTCTTCATTTCTTTGTTCAAAAGCCTTTTAGGGAAAATTTTCCCGATTCTTTTTAGAGCATACAATGATCAAATTGCAAACAAAAAGAATTGAACTTAATTTCTTTTAAAAGCTTTCGGACCTGAAACCAAATTTCACACTAACCGTGGGTTATCTTAACCCAGCTTTGAACAAAATTTATCTCGTGTCTAGGGAACACTTATCATTAATGCATCTATGTCTTTAGCCGGTTACAAGTTACGCTGAACTAAAATCTAATAATTACACATCCGTTCAAAACTTAATATGATGATCAACGCTATCGTTGTGCGATTACTTACACTCTAGGGAGCATTTTTCGAAAATCGAATATACACATTTACATCTTCGCTAACATCGTTAGCGTAGGTATATGGACAGAGAGTCTAAATGAATAAAAAATATACGTTTTCGAGCGCAAACATAGACGTTTGAGTTATCTGTTGTTTGGATACCTAACATCTGGAAAAAATATTCCGCTAGACGTGAATGTAACTGCTAAGAATCATTATGCACATTGTTTAGATATCTGGAGGTATAATTTCTTTGTCAGGCGTTTGTGGAGCATTTTATGGGTGAAATGGGAAATTTGAACACGCTAAAATGCATGTTAGCCCGTTTGCAGGCTTGCGTGATTGTTCAGACCGTGTTTTTGGTCATTTTTTTCAGATTTTATCTTCTCGATGCCTCCAAAGAAATAGCAGAAATATTGTTTATTTTCTCAAGCATAAACATGTTTTGCGTTCCTCTCAGAGCTCATTTTAACCCAGGCCTCGCAGCTCGGGCTACAATGACTCTGAGTCGGGCCCAACTGAAAACGTATGAGTGCCCAAGAAAATCAACACTATTGTTTGATTAACTGTTTTTTATGTGTCACCTTCTTTCGCATTTTCAACTGAGAAAGTAACCAAATGAGGATATTTTTCTCAAAAAAACAAAAAAAGAATTTGACCTCTTTTAGAATTAAAGTAATATATATCACTAAAAACAAAATGAAACCGACTTTCTGATAAATGGGATTCTTGTATTGACAGATCACGTGATGTTTCCCAGGAGGTAAAACTACACTCATCAGGTTGGGTGTCACGTGATGCACGGGAACCTCGAGCCAGTCACGTGTACTGTCAGTTGCGTCCGCTAATGATTGGAAGACGCATTTCCAGTAAGGGTGATAAGTCACTTTGAGAAGAAGGTGCTCTGTCTTGTAGAAATTCTGTGAAAACAAAGAGTGAAATAACTTGAGGATGCTTAGTTTAATGCCCAGGACCACAATCTTTTATAATCACATTATGATTTAGTTTCCATTGTTTAATTCCAGTCTGTTTGCAACTAATTTATAAATATAAGTCCGCGGAGTTTATTTTAGATTTAGGATCATGAAACTTCGGTAGCTTTTTCAAGGGAGTGCCATGTTTTAGAAAATGTGTTTTTCACTATCCGTCTTATTCTCGTCACTCGCACGAAGCTTTCAATTAACGTTGCAGAAGCTAGCAGTATGTAGGACGTGTGTCATATATGAAACAACAGAGGATAAAAGGATATGAACCCAATAGTGACCCAGATCACCATAGTGCCGGGGGAAGCAGCGGCTTATTTTCGAATTTTGGCTGATGTGAGAAGTGCTTATAGGAAGGGGAAGCTTATTCGAAGGATGATCTAATCAGGAATTTATGGCATGCCTCAATACTTAAACGGAAAAAACATACCTCACTCCATGCTCGGTCAACTACATGGACATAAGCTTTATAAAAGTTCCTTCCTACTTCCTCTTGCATAACTCGTGAGGAAACACCTCCGGGGTGGAGCCTAAACTTTGCATCCTCTAAGAAAGCTTTTTCTTTTACTTGCCTATTGGTAACAAACCACTTTATCTCAAACTCCTCTGCAGCGAGAAAACTGAGTAAGTTTCCGCCTGAATTTTTATTGGAAACAACAATTTTGAAGGATGGATTGTTGAATGCGCTGAGAGGATTCACGGCGAATACAGCTCTCTTTGTGAAAAGCTGGGTGGATATTGACACAGCCTCGCGCATGCCTTTTAAATCACCCACAACAGCGCCGGGCACATGAATAAACTCAAAATATCCATAGTTCTCTTGGAATGTTCTGACGAAAACTTCGATGTCTCCTACGAAGGCCAGGTGCCTTAGCTGACAAGCCTTCAGGAAGTGCGGAGGTAACGCGATCCCGGATGTGGCGAGAAAACGAATGTTGTAGAGACGTAACAAATCAGGAGACCAAGGTATTGTCTCGAGACTGAATTGAAAAACCTCCAAATAGTAGAGGGACAATGAATCGTGGTAGCCTCTAGAATAGGTGAGAATTCCTATATAGCAGAACGGACACAGTTAGAAACATAACGTCAATTGTCAAATTCAAGATTAAATTTTTTTCCTCATGCACGACCTGGAGTATTTCCCAATTCCGTAAAACGAAACAAATGAGAGAATTGCAAGTCGAAATTATTATTTTTTTCAGCCAGATCCCCACTATCCTTACTGGACAGCTCACTGATGCCTACCTACGTTCCTTCGTGGAGAGTGTTATTACCTTTAGAGGCAACATTGATAACCCGGTTGGAGCTTGAACCCAGATCTCTCGGTCTGAAGACCTGCAAAGATCCCTCTTAAATTTCGAATGTAGATAAATACGAAGTAATTTTATGTTCATCGAATCGGTTTCCTAACGTTACCCTTCGTTCCAAGGTATTGATACAAAGTGCACGTGGTTGTTTGACGGGGCAGGGGTATGCTGTCGTTTGCGTCGAAATCCACGAATGTTCCGCGCTTATTACTCACTCCAAAATTTATTAATAAATTCATATATACTATTTTCAAATTTGTTTAGTTTTACAATCGATCCTTGGTTGCCATTCATTTGAATTTGAGAACTCACCGGGCTTTCTGCTATAGTGAGGTAGAAGAGCTAAAGTCAAAGGATCACCAGTACCTGTAGAAAAACGAAAATTATTCATGTTTCCAAGAGTTCATCATACACTGGGCGGGAATTATTGTGCACTGCATGGGACGCAAGGAAAACGTCGCAAGGAAAAGGAGGCAAGTCGCAAAACTACGGACTAAAACAGAATACTAAACATTTACTCACCCAACACTTTTTTTGCCAGAATCCGTGCATCGCTTGGATGAGATTTCAATTCATTTAGACTTTCAGGTAGATCCTGGATTTCGGTCACCGACAGAAGGTTATTAATTTTCTGTAGTCGAGAGCTGAGGAAAACCGGTGTTATGACCAGCATCGTCGCAATTAAGACGACGCGACATTTGAAAAACCCTTTCGAAACTCTACACAAGGTAGCACATAAGAAACGAAGGAAACATGAAAATGAAACACCCATCAATAGTAGTCCACAGAAATGAATGCCATTCAAATAGCGAGTGGCTTCTATTTCTTCATGAAATGGAATCAAGTCAAAGAACGGACCTGAAAATGTTCTTCCCAAAAAAAGCAAAAAAGTCGCACAGAACAGCACACCGAGCCAAGTAAGAATCATTCGCCGTTTAGCGCAATAGCATAGTGTGTTCCTGTCACTCTTTCGCCACGTGAAGCAAACACAAGCTAACCCCGCTACCACTCCGACAGTAATAAATGGAAATTTTCTTCCGTGGTCAAAAGTTTCGCCGGAGAATAACTTTCTTAGAACAAATCCAGCCTTGTAGCCGTTCTCACTGTCACGCTTCCAAGGTAAACCTCCCATGTATTCATAATTTGCCAACACTGGGATGATCCACCACGACAACAATGCAACAGTTATAAAGTGTACGGAACATGCGCGCGAGATTGAAGGTGACTGCAGTTTCTTTGCGAGAGGCAGTGGATTGGTAAAGAGTTCTACCACCAAAGTTACTCCGGTCACTATGCCAAGATAGATACCGAAGAACGCATGCGCAGTGAAGTTGAGGACGACAAGTAGCACTGTTGTATTTCTTGAGCCAAGGCCATAAATAATGTACTCATACAGAAACCCAACTGAAATGGAAAACAAGACCTCATTAAAAGCAAGCACTTGAACTATAGTCAAAATAAAATTTTATACGATAGAAATTGGAATATGAAAACTGTGAATCAAATGTTAACAGGATTACAATCTCAGATCTCACAACTTCATCTCTAGGTAAACTTGCGTGAACTGTGGAAGTCGTTCCAACGTGTCAAGTAAGATGGTCGCATCGCGCAAAAGCTCAGTCTATCCTTGTCAATGGGGTAACATTGAGCGCAATGTTTGACTAAGAATACTCAGAGCGAGAGCTACGAAAGTCGAGAAGGGACTTCAGACTTCAGACTTCAGACTTCAGACTTCAGACTTCAGACTTCAGACTTCAGACTTCAGACTTCAGACTTCAGACTTCAGACTTCAGACTTCAGACTTCAGACTTCAGACTTCAGACTTCAGACTTCAGACTTCAGACTTCAGACTTCAGACTTCAGACTTCAGACTTCAGACTTCAGACTTCAGACTTCCGACTTCCGGAAATTTTTTTAAATAAATTTTTTATAAATTTTTTTAAAAATTTTTTAAATAAAAAACTAGTGAGCAGCACACAGCAACAGATCTTGTCAACTTTGTTTATTATCCGACTGGTTTCGTCTGATCACACAGATTTCATCAAGGATTTAACAAGACTCAGAAATAAACTACTAATGTACTAAACGTTTACAATATAAATCACGTTCAAATTGGGATCTGAACAGCAAAACACCCACAAACAGAGAGTGCTACGCAAATCCTGCCAAACAAAATGTGCAATGTTTAATTTTGGGGCGCACGATTTAACGTTAAACTTAGTCTGAAGTCTGAAATTTGAAGTCTGAAGTCTGAAGTCTGAAGTCTGAAGTCTGGAGTCTGAAGTCTGAAGTCTGAAGTCTGAAGTCTGAAGTCTGAAGTCTGAAGTCTGAAGTCTGAAGTCTGAAGTCTGAAGTCTGAAGTCTGAAGTCTGAAGTCTGAAGTCTGAAGTCTGAAGTCTGAAGTCTGAAGTCTGAAGTCTGAAGTCTGAAGTCTGAATTGAAGTCCCTTCTCGGCTTTCGTAGCTTATTGGCCGATTAGCCTCTGTGATCACTTGAATTTTGGTTCCACAAAACTCATTTGAAATGTATGCTTAGTATTTCGACACTAAATGATAGTTGCTCTATAAGACAAGAGTACACACCTGCCATTGGAAATATAGCCATTCCGTAAGTCTGTGTGAAAAGTCCATAATACTGAAATGCTTCCAACTCCAGTCCAAACTTTCGCCAACTAGATATGGAATACACGCAAAGGGAAACCAAAGACGACTCCAATCGTGTCAATCCTAGCTTACGCAATCCAACAAACCATGTCCAGGGCATTGCTGAGAGAATAGCAAGATACATCCACCGAAACAACAACAAGGGACTGATGAACCTTTAAACAGAATAGAGTGGGTTAATTATACAGAGAGGAGGTAATAACTTAGCTTACCTCCCTCCAGACCTCTCCCCGAAATATCTACATGTATTCAAATTCAATTTATCCCTGAAATCAGCATCAAAACGTTTAATTCTGTTATATTACTTACAATGCTAGAAACGTAAACAAAGAGGAATGGGTCCTTCTGTAGAGAGCAATAGAGCAATTATTAATTGAGTCGAACTAATCCGGGATTGTTTTGGTTTCGCGTTATTTTGCTCCACCTTCTCGATCAATCAGATCCAAAAATAAAATTAATCACGAATTGTTCACTCGCATTTCCCCGCGCCTAAAACAGCTTGCTTGTTTCTACTTTCGGTTCTCAAGGGCTCTTTGTGATATCTTCCTTTTATTCTGATTACTTTGGCTCTGGTTTTACGACTCCCGATCGAAATGCGCGCTAAGAGAAAGCAAGAAAGAAACACTTGACTGTACTTTTGTACCTATTCACTTAGTAAATGAGGGGATGGTTTTGATCACCCACTAAATAGTATTGATCAGGCTTATCCTTGCCTTCGTCTAAAAAAAATGACCCAGACGGATCAACTTTGAATGGGAGGAAGTGACCTCTGCTTCTACAATGCATGGTGTCTATAGTCATTCCCATTTGTATCCTTAATTTAAAGTGGTAATTTACTTTGAGCTTTCCTACTTGATAGAAACGAACAGACCGGGAATGGACTGAGATATCCCAGTTTCCCTATGTTTACCCCGCAACCGATTTGATCGATTAAATTTTTACTGTACAGTTTGCATTTAGTGAACATGCCCATTCTGTGCTATATCACTTGAATTCGGTTAAGTGGTTGTCCAAGTAAGTTCGTTATGAATGTGTCTCTTCAATAATATCGCTCCAGCAGCTTCTGTGTTGTTTACAGAACAAAGGATGGGTGTCGTAAGTAACTAGTCAATAATCTTTGGTAGTGAAATGCTACAATTTGGATTCAGTCTATTGAAAGGAGGCAAAATGCAGTAAGTATTTCGAAAGTTACAATCTAAACAAAATATGGTCATGCGACTTAAGTTCCTTGCAACTACGTCTGGGCCTCTCACAAAGAGTACAATCTTTTACTTAAATCTTCTAGTAATCCTAACAGAATATTTATCGTTTTCACACTCTAAAATGTGCGCGTTTATGTGATGGCAGAAAGAGCTTGTGCTAAGTGTATTTGATAACATCTTTCATTATGCCTTTAGCTAAATACAACACAATGCATGCGTCATAGCAAAATTTCTGCAACCCTCATCCTCAAAATTCTTGAATCAACATGAGAAGAAATGCTTCCATGTCAGACAATGGATCTCTAGGAAAGAAATTTCTTATTATTTGGAAAGCCTAAATATATTTTCTTTTACCATAGAAGTTAAACGTTATTCGTGTCAGAACAACACCGTAAGTAACTTGAATAGAAATCCTAGTATCTGTCTTACGTCAGAGAAATGCTGTATATCTGATGAGTCTGGTTTCTTTCTCTCTTGTTACTCTTTTTATAGTAATAAAGAACTGGCTCTAAATGGTAAGGGGTTACTAGCTCGAGAACCTCACGACTCATCTGTCTACTGGGCTCCAGCAGCGATCAAACTATTTTCTTAGAAATTGCCTGCTACTTGTGAGTAATTTTCTTATTATTTCACTAAATACCTTTTGCGAGTAATGAAGATTTAATGTTTGTTTGTTTCTTTGTTGGTATTGCAAAGAAGATTCAGAGATAAAAAAAAGAAAAATTACCTTTGGTAGAATAAATTTGGTTACATATGATCTGGTCAACCCGAAAAATCGCCAAATTTGGGCCAAAGGGTTGCCACGACAAATAACTCTTGGAAGTTAAAAGGTTGTATAATACGTTCAAGGTTTAATCAAGAATAGTGCATTGATAACAGACACTGTTATATATATATATCTATATATATAGACAGTTTTTCTCACTCTAGAAATTGCGCCCGTGCGACATCGCACACGTATTCTGAGCATGAATAAACCAACTATTGTTGTTTTCCATTGAGTTGCTTTCTCTCTGTGGGAAAAAAAATATGTTCGAGTAAATTTAACACTATCGAGCAAAATTATGAGGTCTGTTTCACAGGAACTGCGTTATCATCGACAAATAGTTTTCCCTCGGTTAATCAGAATCTTCTTCCTTCGTCGAAAATTTATTCACACCGGCGTTGGAGTGTTTTCACGAAGATCAATACATAAGGGTGAAGTCTTTACCCAAGCTTATTCCGCCAAACGAGGCCCTTTTTTCCTCTTTTTTTCCTGGTCTTTTCTTTTACCCAAGATGTAATCGAAACTAAGAAACAAAGATATTAACGCATGGCTGTGAAGTCTACCATCTTCCTGCTCAGGGACACCTAGGATTTTGAAATTTCGGAAGTGAGATCTCTGCAAAAGTTCAAAGTCCGAATACTCTCAATGTTCGTTCGTGATCATGAAGGTTATCAAACCCTTCATAGCTGAACTTCTTCCTCGTCACTTTAACATTCAAATGGTCAGTATCATCTATTTTTGAGATGACACATTCTATTTTAGTCCATCTGGCACTCGAATCTTGTTAAAAGTGTGTCAGATCTTCAAGTCTACCCATTTTTCTTCTGAAAAGTCTCTTCTAACATATTTCAGTTCTCTTAAACATTTGGCTATCATGGTTTCGAACTCCACGGGTTTGGCTGTCGTAAACTCGTTTTCTTCGTTCACTCAAGTTCATGCACGAATTTCTTGCGATTACGAACTTTTACTGAACCTACGTGACAATTATTTCGCCTTGGAAAATTTTAATTCCATCGTATATTAAAATCTTTATCGAGAGTTCGGCAAAACTTGAACTCAATCTAAGATTCTCGCTTGCTTCCTCAAAAACATTTGCTAAATTTTGCCTCAACGAGTGGAAGACAATACAACTGGATCGAATCCATCATAAAGTTCAATATTATAACTAAATTTAAACCACGTTTTTCCAGTTTTCAAGAAACTGGAATGTTTTTCACTCTGCACAAGATAAACTGAAGGCAGTTACTCAGGGAGACACAATAGGACAACTTGTTCACTGAGACTGTGACATTGTGCGTGTGTTTTTTTTTTTTTTATTTTACTAAATAGTTAATGTCTGACAGACAAACAGACAGACAGAAAAAACATTGTCTCGAATGGGATAGCTTCTCATGCTTTAGAGAATCATTTTGAAGTTTCTGACCTACAGAAAAATTCCACTGTGTTATTATTCAGTCATTATGTGCCAACACAAACAGATGATGTTATGCTCTATCATGGAGTCCCGAACTCAACCTGTAGCAATGTTTCTTTCCATTTGATATTTGTTTTCTCCTCTAACAAATCACCTCCACTATTCATGGTTCAAATACACCCCAAGTTTCCGATTACCTTAAAGTTTTGATCCGGAAAGGATGGAAAGTAGTAGCTACTTACGATTCTGTGAGGATCATCGTGATGGATGTAACTAAACACGGAAATGGGCTATACGCGAGGAACAACGGGTAACCTAACGTGACTTCGTCGAACCAAAAATCCGTCGCTCCACTTTGTAGTATTTCCTTCAGGTAGAGGATTTCTATCTGGTGTGAATACATATCCCCTCCGTCGGCGTAACCAGTTTCACTGGTCAGATATGGATTACAGTTTATCGCTAACCCGAGGAAAACCGATGAACTTACGGATAACACAATCAGCAAACTGAGCCATTGTGGAATATCATCCCCATCAGTCGCTGATTTTTGACAAGAAGTTGAAAAGTTGCCCATAGTGAGTATGAGAGAATTGCCGTATCAAGCTCAGTGCAAGTTCCCGAGGAGTGCCTGGAAAGGTCATTGGGAAGTTTTTTTTTCTATTAAATTCCTTCTGACTTTGATCCACTTGTTAAATTTCCACCCACGCATGAAATGTTTCTAGATTCAAAAGGCCCGAAAAATGCTCAAAACTTTTTACCGACAAATAATTTTTTTTAAAATGAAAACGAGTAGCGTAGTCTCCGACTTAGTACAAAACGCGCACAATTTGTTGGGGGTTTCGTTACATGAATTCTGGATTCATAATTACATTAAACAATGACGTGTTTTACTGATTGACGATGGTGTCGAGACGTCGAAACGTCGCGATCCACATCGGAAGTGACTTCTTGGGGAAACAAAGACTATATTATGATACTTTTTTCATCTGAATTAATTATAAGCTTCAGACAAGATGAGAAGAGTGCAAGTAATCACTTAGTGAATTGACAACGTTTTCGAATAAACATCGCGTCTACAAAGTAGAGTTTTAATAGTTTACAAGTGTAGCATTTCCCTTTTCCGTGACTTCCTTCATGGAAGTCCTTCCAATTTTTTTAATTCCTGATTTTCTTTGTAGCCTCGTTTTTATGTCTTTCTCCATATTGGTGCATGCGCCTTAACTGTTCTCCCTCTTGCTTCGACTCTCTCGAGACATCAGAAAGGTAGAGAATTTTGGTTTAGTTAATTTGATAATATTCATTTATTGCGGCTTCGATTTTCTTCTGATTTTGCGATATTTGATGTTTCTTTTAAGATGAGTCAATCAGTACAAGTTTTTGGACGAAAGGTTAGTAGAAATGTAGAGAATTTTTGCGAAAAATTTAGGTTTGTTGGTAACACGTGTATACAAATATGGCGGCTGTGAATTTGATGCACAGTAGTTGCCTTTTTAGATTTCGTTAACATCTGAAGTTAAGGACGTTAATCGAAAGTCACGGATATTCGTGTCAGTTACCGTGTGCAGTTATGATAGTGGGTGTAAATATTTGTCATGAGACTTCTATCCGAAGTTTAATTTCTGAAATTCGAAACAACATTCTGGCTAATTTTTAGCACGTCTTTGGTTTTCTTTAGTAGAAAAATAGACTCAGTTCTAACTTCCCACATTATTCTGTCACTTAATTTCGACATTAAATAACTCCCTTTTGTTTCTAAACTCTTTTGACATCCATCAAGTTCGAAAATCTTGAAATTTCTTGGTTAACTAAAAATTTTGAAAAATTAAATGTCGTCGATACAAGTTTTAGTTCTATTTGTAAATTCAACTTAAATACTGCCAGGCAATTGGCAGGAGGATGCATTTACTTGGCTAAGAATTATCTGTGGTTTGTGAATGAATATTTTCAACGTGCAAAGAGGAATTATTGCCCTAAACCTGGCTGTGTCTACGCGATTTTTCAAATAAAGCTGTGGTATTCTGTATGTGTTGATTATATTTTATGCAGATATAAAAATGTATGGTTACCAGTAGTGTGATCTATCTAGTATGGAACTCACTAGAACAATCACTAGATTTGGCTCTCACTGTGCCCCTTGTTGACTTGAAATTTGTTGCTAAATCTCTGCCAAAGTTTTGCATTGTGGGAAGGTGGTAGTTGAAAGAGGGTTGTACATATATTACTTTAGTTCATTTTTTTCTCGTGATCTCTGAAAATCATTTGTTAAGACAGTTTGTGAAGTGACACGTTAACTAACCACCTTAATTCTTATGTTCAGAAAACAGCCACTGCTGTTGCCTTCTGCAAGCGTGGAAATGGCTTGATCAAGATAAATGGATGTCCACTGCACTTAGTGGAACCTTCGACTCTTCGCATGAAGGTCTGTACATGTTTAAGACATACCTATTCTAGAGTTATTTCAAGGTTTTCACATAAATATGCATCAATAGTCCTGATAGTGCCAGCTCTTGTAAGTGACATGAACAAAATAGCAGAATTGTATCATAAATAATATACCAAAATTTTTTTCCTAAAGGTAAGATAGTTGTTAGCATTTTGATTTGTGACACCCTTGGAAAGGGCCAAGTATTATCACATCCAAGCAGTTCATTAAACAGCTGTCATAGTTACGCTAGTTAACCATATAGTACAGGCCTGGTTATTTACAAAAATTCTATCCCAAACCACAGTTTTATGCAATCAGTGGGCCTCGGCTTTCTCTGAGGAAGCAAAGGTTATCATAGACACCATCCTGTGTTGTCAGATTACACACAAGACAGGCAACTATTTAGTGAATAAGTCCCAGGCATCTTGACAGCATTTTGTTCAATGGTATTTCAAAATTTTGTACACCTTTTCATCATCAATAATGGTAAAATGAAGTGAAATTATTAGGTTGAAGCTGAGAGACTAGCATGGAGCCATAGCCAGCTACAAGCTATTTTTGATAGCTACTGATAAATGCTTGTTTATTTTACCAAATGTTTGGTGCTAACCTTGAGAACTTAACAGAACTCAGCCAGCAGGAGATAGAAGTGGGTGGTGCTTTAACTCCCATGAGTGATCAAGACATAATTTCACCTTACAACATCAATACACTATCACACAAACAAGTGATGAGAATAACAAAAAATATCAATTAGGGGATCATTAGTTGATCCAATACCAAATTCTCTAAAACTTACATCATAGGAATTGTATGGCAGACAGTAGGGAGAATTACTAATGAGATCTTGGGAGTGAAAGGGTTAATTTGTTTCTGTACTTCAGGTTCAGGAGCCAATCCTTCTTCTTGGCAAGGAGAGGTTTGAAGGTGTTGACATCCGTGTCAGAGTGAAAGGTGGTGGACATGTATCCAGGATCTATGGTAAGTCCTTCTTAACACTTTAACTCCCATTAGTGACCAAGACGGAATTTCTCCTTACAATATCAATACCATATTAACCAGATGAGTGATGAGAATAAAGAAAAATATCAATTTTGAAATAATTAGTTGATCCAACACTGAATTCTCTGAACTAACATCCTAACAATTGTATGGTTGACACTAAGGTGAATTACAAATTTGATCTGGGAGTTAAAGGGTTGAAGCACAAACTTTACACACAAGTTTAAGAAGTTTTTGTTGGGTTAAAATTTCCAAACTGATTGTGTTTTTATTAACCTTTGTCTCTGATTATGATGTGAAAAAAATGAATACAAACATCCAACTTGTTTTAACAATCTTAAACCAAAACTGGAACAAAAGCCACAATATTTTTTTATTATACACAAGGCTTGATTTGAATTTCATTCTATGTAAATTTATGATGTCAAGAAGTACACACAGGCTGTACAAACTTAAGGTGTAGATTTTTTGGACACTTCTCATTATACATGTATTTGTGAAGTTCTGGTATGATCTGGCTTTAACATTAAGCAGTGTCAGTGGTTTACTGATTGGCAATTGTTGTTGTGTAGTGTATTTTTGGGAGGGATTTTACCAGTACATCTTTTTGTTGCTGTGTATTAAGTGCCCATGGTTGAAAGTTGTAACAGGCATTTTTTTTCTTTTTACAGCTATCCGTCAAGCCATTTCCAAGGCCTTGGTAGCTTATTACCAAAAATGTGAGTATAGTAGTACTTTGTTCAAAAGCTAGAATTGTTATTAAAACTGTGATGTAAAACTTTACCCCTGCAGCTTTTTTATTTTTCTATGGTGATGTTTGCTTTAACTTATACTAGACACTGACAAAATGGGAAATTTTAGGCTAGTGATCATGATCAAACATTTTCTAGTGACTAAATATATATTTTCATTTATATATCTTGTTTGGTGTTGTTTTGTCATGTTTCATTATGTTGGGTTGAGTGCAGATGTCAGCCAAAGTAACAGTGTAAAAGTGTTCAAAGTAATCTAGGTTGCTTTGTTTTTTGTTTTTTTTTGTAATGAGATTGGTCCCTAAATTCGCACCATCCTCTCAACAAATCAGATTCAAAAAATGCAACCAATTGTAACTTGGTCATGGTGTTTTGCTTCATTTAAAGCAGCTTGGTTGTTTTTACTTTGCATTTCCATGGGAACCCTGTGACGTTTTCCTTTCTTCTGATTGGCTGTTGTGAAATTGATTCTAAAACAGCCAGTTGACTTGTACGCTCTCATGTACTTTGTTGAAATTTCGTGGGTCCTAGACTCATCAATGCTGCTCACTTTTTGGGAACTTATTTGGAAATGTTTTCTTTCTTTGTCAGATGTGGATGAGGTGTCCAAGAAGGAGATCCGTGACATCCTCGTTCAGTACGACCGTTCCCTGTTAGTGGCTGACCCACGCCGTGCAGAGGCCAAGAAATTCGGTGGACCGGGAGCCCGCTCACGCTACCAAAAGTCTTACCGTTAACTTTCTTATTTACTTGCAGTTGGAGATCAATAAAATCTATTAGTTTGATGGAACATTTTAAGTTGTTTTTACTTTTCTTTTTTTTATTACTATTCCATTGATTTTGGACTTGTTACAGCATCGTTCATTATGGAAAAAGTAACCTAGGTATCGTTTCTGTAGTATGTGCCCTCGAATCAATTGGTCCAAACCGTCAAGGTTTTCCCAAGTACAGTTTTACTCGCCCACAAGAATCGTACGCGCTATTATCATGACATACCTTTCGTATTATTCCCATATGAGTTCTTTCTAAACCTGAAACGAACGTTTACGCTCTGACCAATCCTCGAAATTACTCCTTCTTGCGAAAGTTACACGCGAGAATTGTTTTCGCCGTATTTAAGATGTCCAAGAAATGACTAATTCAAGATTATGGCACTTGTGAGCACTGGGTGCGAGGGGCGTGTTTATCCAGACATGGCAGGGGTGACGGTGATACTGAGAGAACGTCGATTTAGAAACGAGCTACAATCTCTCAACCAAACTGCGTGCCGAAGAAACTGCGGTTAACGTGTCTAACGTTTCGAAGGACGCTAGCCCTCACTTATAGGTGAGTCTTGAAAAAAGGATGGTGAATAATTTGCCATCGGTGTTCCCGATCTCGGCACAGAAAAACTTTCGGTTCTATAAGACATTGATTGATTTTGATAATATACAACATTTAGAAACACACGCCGTTCTCGTTTCCGTCCCCGTCGTGCTTCGCCGTAAGTAGTCCGGACTATCAAGTGGCATATCTTGAGGTTTTGGATTTTACTTATACAGACAGGATATTGCCCAATTCAATGTATCTAATACAATAATAAAAATTTTTCTGCCAGTAACACTTTCATGCGATAAAAATAATCACAATGGTAACATTAGGGCTTATTTTAAGAAGGTTAGATGCGACACCGCGACCTTCGGACATTTGGCTTTAATCGTATTGCTTTGGATATGTCCTAATTCAAAGAAAGAAACTAAATATGAAACAGTGCACGAACGGAACAGTTTTAACAAAGAGATCGGGAAACTAGTAAAAGACTTTGTCTTAATAGATTACGAACAGTCCCTCATTTTCGGCGAAGACTGTCGCTCGATTCAAAACAAATCAGTGAAGAAAAAATGGTGTTTCCGCACCGCGCGAAACTATGGGAGGCAAGTTCCGCGTGAACATCAATTTTTTACCTATTTTGATTCCCACAACAGCCGTCTCAGAAAAGCAGGGACCGCTCGTAGTCTATTTTCTAAGTTATAGACAATTGAAAACATTTTGGGAAACTTCGTCGTGATATATTTGCTCATTGACAGAGTGGGAGGTCCGCACGGAAGAAATATTTGACCCGAGGTCATGACTTACGGACCGAGTGCAGCGAGACCAGCGAGTCTGGGCGTAATAGCGGAGAGCCAAATATTTTCCCGTCCGCGCCTGACCAAGCTCAGTCAATAAGTATTTTATCATTTGACCTCTAGGTCTTAAAAAATTCAAAATCATGTTTGAATGTTAAAATCTAATAAGGAAGCAATTAGATGCATAACAGGAACTCGTATTGGGCAATCCAATCTATGATAAACTTCTCTTTTGCTGTTTGACCTTATTTCTTCGTGTCAGAACAAGAAACTCATAATTCATCGGAAAAAACAAGGCTCATTTTTTTCATCTCATTTTTAGACCTCACATTCTCGGAAAATTCAACAAAGCCGAGCTGGTGCGGGGCCGGACGGCTTAATCCAAACCTGCGTTAACCCGTCTTGTCCTACAGAAGTGAGCTTTCATTGTAGCTTACTACATATGGGATTACGTGCACGGATCATACGATAATAAGATTTACCCTTTCCTGTTAACGAATCTCTATCTATAAAGAAATAATCTCTTAATTGTAATTATCTCTTCTTTCCACTTATAGTTAATGCTTTGAGAATAAATGTATAACTAAATATATGTAATCATATATATTTAGAATATTGACTCACTCTCGGGCAACTCGTGCCCGAAAATCTTGCAATCGTTGCAGAAATAAATGAGTTTAAAACGTGTTTTTGTGCTCTGCTGATCTCACTGTTTTAAGGCTCATCATTATCCTGCTTATTTATCGCCTGTGGCAGGGGAGAGGGGGGTGATGTGGAGGATTTTAAGGGGGGAAGACACATGGTTTTTAAGAGGGGATGAAGAGGGGATCAGTCGTCGCTAACATAGTATAAGGAGGAAACTATGGCAAATTGACGGCCAATTAACTGCCGGTGAGGGGGCGAGGCAGGAGCAAGGGGGAGAGGGGGGGAGGGGCCATGAGAGCCTTTGAGAACGGAAAGGGAAGAAAATCAGGTAAATTTATCGTGATACAACCAAAATCATCCAGCTTCCCCCCCCTAGGATTTATATAATTAGCGTCGACGGCTAGAGGTGGACATTTACCTCGCCGATTAGTGGTTGGGTAAATATCGACCACTAGCCTCCTCCGTCCACTTTGATGGTATTATCATCATCATTATATATTTTTTCGACCGCGCTTCACCTCGCCCAAGAGATTATAAACGGTTTATAATCTCCTCGCTCGCCACATTCCTCATTTTTACCACTAGCGCTATAAGTTTTCATTATGGCTCACTGAAAAATGACTCACAAAAGTATAGGAAAAGTTTTGGACTAGTCCGGTTATGGTATCGGTAATCTCGGCTCCGCTAATAAAAATTCCCTTTATACCCCTCCCTAACTCAATTCCACGGTTCTCTTTCGGCCAAGTTACTGTAAAACCAATGGTCATAAATACACTTTTGTTAACTCTTCATCCATTAGAGGAGGGTCTGGATGGGGGAGGGGGGGTACAAATGTCAGTTGTCACTTAAAATTTCGGCCATTTATCAGTTTCAGATCAGTTTCCCCTTGTCAGTTAAATAACTGTTAATAATTAACTTGGAGAGTTAATTATTACTTTCCGACCCTATTTTTTGGTTAAAAAGGGGCATAAAGCTTAAAATCGAAAATTAAGTCGAAAATTGATACAATAGGAAATTCTTTTTATCAATTCTGGAATGAAATAATTGCAAAATCTTCCGAGTGACTTTCAGTCTTTGTTGGAAGGGCATTACAACTCTTCTGCACCCAAACTTCTGTTTGCCCGTGCGCAACATTGAAACAATCCTTTTCAGCCACTGAGCCGGTCAAAATGTTGGAAAGAGGATCGTCAGAAAGACAACAAACTTGTGAAGAGTCCTCTCGCACAATGTATTAGTTTTATGTTTTGTTTCACAATGCGTCAATTGTGATTGGCTCCGATGAAATGATCGGAAAGGAATGTTCTTTTGACTAATTTTCAATTAGGTTATTATTGATATCTTTTGTAAGCGTGCCTTAGAAATCCAAGCTCAAGGCGGCACGAATTGGCCGCCCGGATTTAGAAACCATAATTGGGGTAATATCTTCATCATTTCGGTCAGAAAAGTCGTTTTCTGAGTCCGTGTCATATTCGTCTGCATATATCCCCAGCTGCCACTTCAACGATACAGTCGTCAACGAGTGTGACATCTGTCACATTCCCACCTTCCGAAGTAGATTGAACGGCTCCTTTGTCGCAGCTGAACCCTACGGCTGATCTCCAGATTTAAAATTGTTCCCTAGTCCCGTCAACAAGTTTACTTTGGTGGAATCTTGTTGCTTCGTGTAGACGGCCAGTGGTGGAGCCCCTGCCTTGCCCTTGGTAGTTTCCTCCCGAACTGTCCTTTGCCTCAACGGACGTTACTCTCCACAAATTCTTTTATGGTATTTTCAGTCTCGGGGTTGATCTCCTCTGAAGGTAGCGGTCGTATAAAGTTGACATTTGCAAACTCCGTGCCGGTGTGGGGGACACGACAGTAGGATTTTTCTTGAGTAAAACACTTGTCTGCCCATTTTGTTGCTCTCTTCAACGACTCCTTGGTAATTATTCCAAAGTCTTGGGAATACTGCAATGCGGTCAAGGTCTCATGCTTAAAATGGGAAACTGCGTGTAGATTCTCCACAACTGTTGTGGATTATGTGCAAAATTTAATGTCTTGGAGATAATCGTTGTTAATTGAAGCTATGCTGTTGTGCAGGCGGTGCCCTCCTTCTTCGAGAAGTTTAAGAGAGACTTGAGTTTTATTAGACACAGTTCCCTCAGGGCCGTTGGTTGCTGTGGTTTCCTTTATACTGTGCCGTTGTTCAACCTCAGAAACGGTCTTTGTGATGTTGTCATTTACATATGATACTTTGTCTTCGGCATCTTGAAGAGATAAGTGTGCTTTCTCTATGCTTTAATGCTTACAAATCGGTATCTATAGGCGTTAAATGCTACAGAGTAAGCTTTTAACAGATATATTTATATCAATATCAAATACTAAATACCAAACCATTCCAATACATACTGTTTAATTCGCTATTGTTCCAGCCAGTATAGTCGGAAGCTCCAGATTCCATCGCTCGTCCGAAGTTAAGGCAAAATTGTGGCTCTTCCCTCCTGATTTCGGAGCCATGTGATGAAGTTTCACATCAAAATTTCCAAGGCCATATTTACTGGACAACTCCTTCAGACCAAGGAACGAAATAGGGCGATTTTTCAGCGCCAGTACGGTGTTACACTATTGATAGGAATGTAGCTTCTCTGACGCTCAAATGCCGTTTCCGTATCGATTCGATAAAAGCTTACAACAGCTTTTAAAATACCAGAATTGACGGCCATCGCGTAATTTGACGACCAAGTTGGGTATCAAAGACCATGTAACCGATATGTGACATATGACCTTGATGTGGATGGTCCATGCGGTAATTATTAACGAAATGTGACACTAATAATAATAATAATAATAATAATAATAATAATAATAATTATGATAATTATAATTATAATAATAATGATAACTTTATTTATCCTGATTAGAGACCGGTCAATAAAATCAATAGTGATTGACTGGTGTCAATCGATGACCAGTAAAAAATACATAAAAGTCGATAAAAAAATATAAAGCATGCAGTTGAATAACAAAACCTATTTAAGAATTGTTAAATAAAATCTACGTTTAACTCGTACAAACGTGATTGGAGCTGTCCATGTTCATCAGGTAAACTGTGCAAGTGTTGTGAGCTCACGTACATCTCTTGGCAGTTTGTTCCAGGCACTCGCAACCGAGAACTTAAACGAGGTCTGTCTACATTAGTCTTAAACGTATGGTAGATCTAATAATGTTGGATCACTGAAGGATCGACAATGTCTTTGTGATCGTTTCATTAAATAACCTGTCAACTGCTTAGGGCAGTTAATGTTGTTAATAATCTTGTAAACATACTGTGGCTTGATGAAAAGGCGTCTATTGTGCAGTGATACCAATTGTAATTTAGCGCGCATTTCTTGAGTACATGTCTTACGGTCAGCATGCAATATTATTCGCATTGCTCGGTTTTGCAGGTTGCTTTTTACACTCTGGCGCGCTCTTACTGATATGTATTAAAAATCGTACTTTTATTGGACAAAATAAATCAACTGTCCTTATTTTATATCCAGTTTTTAGGGTATTTAGGGCGATCCGGTATTTTGTCACCCATCAGTAAAAGCCCACCACAAATGTCAGTTGTCAGTTAGATTTTCAGCGATTTGTCAGTTGTCAGTTAAAATTCTGGCCATTTGTCAGTTGTCAGGTAATCCCATCCAGATCCTCTTAGAGTGACTAGGATCAAAATTCCTCCTCACGTCACATACAGCATCGCTGAACTGATAAAGCATCTCTTGATTGATTAATTCATTCTACATGTTAGTACCATAGGGAAAAAAAACAAACATACGGAGAGCAGTATAAAGAAAATGCAAAAACAGATATTAGGGTGCAACTAAATGTTTCCAAATTGGTCTTAAAGCAAGATGACGTCAACTGAAAACTCGTCCCCAGGCCTCGTTTGCACTTAAGTTTTTATTCATCGTTGCCACTTTTTGTTCTTCTTATCTGGTTATTGTTTTGATTTCGGCGTTCTGGAAATACTTTCTTTTCATAATTTAACAGTCTACACCTTGACAGCGAAGCTTGGGGGTGAAATTGGGCTTTCCGTTAAGGCCTACTGAGTGACCTTCATACAAACATCATGGAAGCTAAAACTTTGCCGTCTTTCTAAAGTAATGATTTAGCTTGTGTTTACTTTGCTACTTTGTGATCATTTTCCTCTTCTGAGACAAATACAACTTTTATTTCTTTCGTTTCTTTTTAATAGTGTGGCGTACCGACATTTTGCTTAATGGAGTTTTAAAATAGCCTGCCGTTGTAGAGAAAGTTTAGAAATACGTTAATTTACTTAGTCAAAATTATTTCTACGGGTATTACTTGGTCCCACGATCGCGAAATGGATGGACTGGTTGTTGGCTGCAAGCATTAATGGCACAAGGGACTCAAGCGTGCCTTCAACTGGAGTCGATCGTTGATGATTCACTTAACTGCTTGCAATTCCAGTCTACCAATCGTTTGCACTCTTTTAGATGAAACTTCAACTAGGTTAACGAAGTTTAAGGACTTCCAGATGATAGTTAATCAAATTTCACGTATCGATAAGAGATGAAAGGTTTGAGACTGAAAAAAAATTAGGGAGAGACAAAGAATTAAGGTAGAAATGCAATGCAGAAAATGGAGATGCAAAGAAATAAATGAACTTGCTTTTATTCCATTAACATAAAGACGTGTTTCACCAATATTTCGCAAAATCTAAAATATGGATAATAAATATAATTCATCATGTGTGTGCTAAGCGTTCCTCAAAGAAAAATCGAAAATTTTTCTGCTTTTTTCTCTGGGTGAAAAGCAGATGAATTTCGTTCACATTTATTTATTTTTCATTAAGGGATGTCTTGTCCTTTAATCAAAATGTTGCAATGTTTATTGCTTATGAATCTCAGTACACCCTGCCGTAAAAACGACGCGTTGTTGTAGTAAGTTGACTCAAGAGAACGTCAAACGATTTGATGCCGTCTCATAACAAAACAGGGAGCTCAAACTGATTTTGAGTATGCCAGTGTGTGTGTGTATTATGAATCCAGATAATCAATACCTAATACATCTCCAGAGTCACAGTGATCAGAAAGATATCTGATGACATAAAACTTTAAATATATATAATTACTCAGATGATTACATACAATCTAACAAACCGAATTTTCCCTTCTAATGAGAACTTTCAATACGCTTAGCAGCAAAACCGCATGAAAATCTTCCTGCACAGTTCATAATCTGATTCAAACTGTGACAATAACCACGAGAAAAGCCTGGGGCTACATTGGTAATTGGAAACAGCTGCCAGCAATTTTACATCTCATTTACTGAACAAAAAGGGCAAACTCGGTCTCCGCACGGCTAAAAATAGCACAAGGGTTCATAGGCGACAGATATGACATAACAGCCTGAAGCACGAATGCAGATGAATGGAAATTGCAATGGAAAATTTAAAAATACGATAGCAAAACTTCGAATTCTTGCAAGTCGTAACGTGAATTTGACAAATTAAGTTATTCCTTCTTGATGACGAAATATTTCTAACAACGATATTTACCTTCATCCATACTCGCAAACGAAATTCTATTTTTAACACGTCACTTTCTAAGATTTTAGAATTCATCGTTTAAAACATTCTAAGCGCCATCAATTGATCGGTAATATCAATAATTCATTTTTCCCACTGAACTTAAAATATACTTAATGTTCGGGCAAGAAAAAAAAAAGCAGACTTGTTTTTTGCGCTTGAAAAAACCTCACACTCGCCAACCATTATAAGTCCTAGATAAAGGTACTTTATTCGAGATAACATTTACAACAGGTATGCAATATCCATGTTGAAAAGAGGTCTAATGGAGTAAAGTATTTTAAGAACTGAGATTTTAAAAGTCGCATACGGTTTAAAAATTTCGCGTTTGAAATAGCGCTGTACAATCAAGTCAAGTTAAAAATTTATTTTTTCTACATACCGTGCCAGAAACGATTACTCCGCGCTAATCAAGCTTAATAAAACACGATGAAAAATATTTCTGTACATCAGTTCGCTTGAAGCGTTAAATTCGACAACGAATATACATATTTCGTACTTCTTTAGACAATCATCACCTGCTCCTGAAATACGATTCAAACAAAAGCAAGAAACCTCCAGTTTTTTTCTAAAAATGGCGACGCATAGCGCATATCCTTTTACTTCGTCCTTCTTTCGGTGAGTTTTAACGCGACTCCCAAACGTCGCCATGGCTGTTTCCGGGTTTTTTCGTTCTGTGGGTTTGGTAACGACAAATTTTAGAGAAGATGCCACCAGGTCTCCCTAAAAATTTATTCCGCATTCAAACACCAGGTCGGTGCCAGACGAGCCAAAAATAAATATCACTGGTATAGTACTAAATGCGTTCGGGCAAATGCAATGTTCTCACTGAAATTTCACGCCTTTTCCTCGCCGCTCTCTTTTTTTGAGTCAGCTTGTGTAGCTTCTTTGTGAAACATACACTCACCACTTTGTTTGGAATCGCCGCACTTGCAGTGAATGTCCGGGCAGGCATCCCTTCGGCCTTTCCGAGAACACCTCTGAAATTCGTGTTCTTCGATGGGTTCTTCTGGATCAGCGCCATCCCCGCCGTGCTCTTGTTTGGCCGTCTCATTGCTGGCTGCAGGCTCCATTTTCCAGCTTTCCTCATGGAGAATTAAGACTGTCCCGATTGCGGAAAACTGTCGCCAGCGCCGTTTGATTTATCGATCACTAGTTCAGCCCCGTTATTAAAACTGCCTATAAAAAATTTACTGGCGCGAATCGGTTGGACTATCTTTTTTTAAAGTCACTCCTAGTTGCTGAAAAAATTCGACGCTGAATATTCAAGACTGTTGAAGGCTGCGATTTCTCCCGGTCTGTTCCGATTGCTGTCCATGTCCGTGATACGCTGATAAATTTATGTACGAAAGGCTCCTTCTAATTTTGGTATTGCGAAAATTCGAATATTTGTCTTGGCTTCTGCGTCGTTAGGAGAATTTACCAGCGAATCGACCCATTGTTTCAAAGCCAGAACCCAACTACAGGGTACAAATTTTAAATTAATGCCAAGGACGACAGCGTTAAGCCAGGGAAACAAATATAAGTGGTCTCTGAGAAGCGATGAAGCCAGCGTGTATCCAACAATACAAAAGGGAAGTGTTTTCAGAATCCCAAATGCAAACACCTGCTGATAAATCTTCTCCACAACCTTGACAATCGGTTGACAACTAACCATCTCTTTTCACTGGGTTACCTTCGTCATGGTTGCTATGGAGACCGACTAGGGCTTTGTTTTACAGACAAACCGTGAAGACACAGATAAAAAATTCAGAAGCAAGTTAAAATCTCTTGCTTCCATGCAGCATTTTCCTTTCTTCGTCGATTTCTGTTCAAAATAATCTCTCAAACTACTTTAATTTGTAAGTGAATTTCAAGAACAAAACACGGACAGTCTATAACGTGCAATATTCCCTCTCACGGGAGATTCTAAATTTGTTTGATTATATTAAGGTTGTTCGCATTCTAAAACTGACGATAAGGTTAATTTAATGTTATTCCTTTAACCGTGATGTTATTCGGAGATAGGGATAAAATCGTAAACATACAAATTAACCAGATAACTTGTTGTTTTTGTTGAGTTTCTTCCATAGAGGATGAAAAGTTACATAATCAACATGGAGAAAAAAGATGATTTAAGATGACTAACGTAAATTCCGAGAAATCTACGACTTGTAAGGGGCAATCGCTTCCGTTCCAAAAATAACCGACAAATTTTCCTTGGCTTTTCACAAGCGCTATCTCCGGTACAAGATGAATCTTCTTGGAACTTAAAATTAGACGGGGACGATTGCTAGCAGAAGGACGTGAGAATGGTACATGTACGGAACAGTCCTGATTTCCACATGGAAACTAAGATTTTCTTTGTATAATTTCATCATTTCATCTTTCATGCAAATAATAATTAACTACATTATCACAAGTTTCGATTCCACCGGCCATTGTCAAATCGAATTAAGAAGAAATCACCCGCACCATCGTGTCTACAATAAGATCTGTTGGCAACTAAGTTGTTCTTGATATAGAGAGTGCTTATCGCGAGAACTATACGTGTTCAAAACAATATCCTAAAAATCATCTCACCAGGAGAGTACTAAGCATTCTATTGTAAACCCGAGGAACAGAAATCGTTCAATAAGGCTTTGGTTTGAGAACTGAGTGACGCCGGCAGTATCTCAGAGGATTCGCAATCTTATCAATTTCATTTTCAAAGTTTCTAATCTTAAAATAATAGCACGGCCATTTAAGATCTTAATACTACAAGTTCATAATGTCATGTATATCGAAAAACTTTAACTAAAAACTTCCTGTTTCTGTTCCCACCCACCAAATTTCTTGAAAGTCAAGAGAGGGTAGAGTTATTTTTAGATCACTTCCGCTATAGGTGATGCCGAGGAAATCTAGAAACCAACACTGGATCCTAAATTGTAAATTCTTTTTTTAAGCGGACATCACCCTCAAGCAATACGAGAGGTAAATGTTAAATTATTTTCCAAGAGACTCGATACTTTCATTCGAACTATAGCTTTGCAAGGATTACGTTTGAAAGAAAACCTCTATATGAGATTAAATCCCATAACTCAATCCCTGGCAATACAAGGCAGGTGGATGACGGTGCCTGTCCCATATTTGGAAAGCAAACCGACTTATGACGAAACAGCTCTACGGGTTACTATGGACGTCAAAGAGACATGGGATGCTTGCAAAACAGTCGGTAGCCTCGAATTGAATTCTCTCCTTCCTTTGTGCTAATGCAAATTACTTTCAAACCCAAGCTCATCTCCAGCTGATATCACCTCTGCTGTAGCTCAGCTAAGAGTTCGTCAAATTTGAAAGCGTTCTCGCGAAAGCTACACAATTCCCCATCCAAACGGTCCTAGAGAAGCAAATGCGAAATGATGCTGAGAGAAGAGAAAAACCAGTTGAATCACAATTGCATTTGACGCTTAGAGTTGGTTAATACTTTAACTACCAAGATCACTGCAAATTATCTTTAGCAACGACGACACCTATGCATGGTCTTTGGTTAGTCCTGGAATCGCATGCTATGTCGCGCAATATTCTCCGACGAAAAGTTTGCCTGAGGGTACTTTTCGATCGAGTGTCAGACATCGAAAACAAAAAAAAGCAAAGCACAACGACCAATTCGGAGAAAGGTAAACATAACAAGGAACCTGTTAGAAAACAGAGTTAGAACACGAAAGCGTCTTCAAGTGCGGAAATAGTATAACCTGAGTGACCGGTCGAAATGGAAAATTGCTCCAATTGGTCTGCCTCAAAGGTCTTTTACATTTAAGAAGGTGCACATCGGCCACACCTTGAAGTCAAATGGTTAAACTCACCATAATGTTATCTAGCGATGACACCTCATTATCTTCAAATAAACTCAGTGGAGGTGCTGTCTGACACTCACGAAAGAAGCTACCAAGATCACCGGTTGATGTTGCTGAATGAGACGCGAAGGCTGGTTTCTGAAAAAAAAAAATGATAGATTTGAGTTGAGAGCAAATGTCAATTTCAGGGCATAATGATATTTTTGTCTTTTCATAAGGATTTTTTTCGCCCTTGATGGCGAAAACAATTTCCCCAAAACACTAGCCAGTGTTTACTGGTTTTCATACACGTTTGGTCTTCCGCCCTCTCCCTAATGCGCCCGAATACGCCCGAGTGCGCCGATCAATTCGAAGCTTTAACAATCCCCACGAACACTGAGGAAACTCGACTCAAAAAAGACCTGGTGCGATAACAGACCACCAAGCTCTTCAAAATGTCTTCCTTTCCAGCAAAGATTATTTCAGACTCATCACACCATGCACCCGCCGCAAGACCTACGCATATTTCTTCACTAAGAATACTCACCAGTTCTACCATAACGAAGTCATCATCCCACACAAGCTGACTGGGGAAGGGTGGAGACTGCACCGTCGATGGTTTGCTGCCATCTGTTCTGTCAGATGAACTGTCCTACAAAAGACATACAAATTTGCTTTAAGCTTATTATGTTGGCAGCTGTGAGTCGTCGATAAGACGTCAGGAGGTCTGGAGTCTAATTCCTCGTGGAGGACTCAGATCTCCTCTTTGTCCCACGCTTCTGACAAAAAAATCAACACCTTTCCTTAATAACATATAAGTAAGAATCATCCGTTTAGCAAGTTTCTTTTCCCTTGTTATAAAAAGGTAAATTGCTCACCCTTCTATGTAGAATTGATGGGGACTTTTTCAGGTTGCTATCTGAGGCCGGCAGACCACTTGGTATGTTATCAGCCTCTTTTCTTAAAAGCGACGCAAACGGTGGAGTAGATGACAGGTTTGTAAGCATTGACTGTGAATTAAAGACAACAAGTAGGATTTAAAAAGTGAAAACATGATTCACCCACAAGATAATAAAAAGCCCATGGCAACATTCGTGAGCCACTTTAACAAACGCTTCGTGCACGACACGTTTTGGTCTCACGAGTGAATTTAGAAAAAATACGGTACTAACCCTACCCTGCAAAAAGTGCGGGTGTTTTTACACACCTGATTCACTCGGCCCACGCACTGGCCCAACGTTCGCCTTAAGACACGCAAAACATTAACGTGCGTTTTGCAGGGTGTTTTTCGCGCTCCTTAACTTCCCTTCCACTAAAAATACTCTTTGGCTTAGCTTTTGAGCTAATTACGCCGTTTTACTCTTGGAAGAGACAAAAGTGTAATTCCTCCTTTAAATATAAATATTTTGTTTAAATAACATAAGGTGAGAAAATACAAACTTATCACCTGACAGGTGCTATCTTATTGAACTTAACACAAAATAATCTCTAATAATTTACGTGGGAATGGATGGCAGCAAGAAGGGAAAATTACTGGTGAGATCTTTGAAGTTGAAAGCGAAAGGCCTGATCAAACGTGACTTGTTTTTGAAGTGACCATACAGAATGTTCATGCGGGTATCACTTTTGGATGCGCAAGTAAACAAGCACTGGCTCAAAAAAAGGGTTCTCTTCAATTTGGCTATTTGTGGCTCTAGGTTGAACGCTAGCTTACATTTTCAGGCGATCCTGAACTGCTCACAAAGGCTCCCTTTGTTCGCATTTTTGCACAGCCAGTGGGTTGAGAATAACTTCCGGGTCTGTGGAAGGGAAAAAAGACAGAGAGATATAAATCGAGAGGAATGTTTCTTGTAGAAGAACTGGCAAATCAAAGAGAGTGAACGAGTATCCCAGAGACAATCAAGACAATCACCCGCTCATCTCGTGTTTCCCAGTGCTGTTAACTTCTTGACTGATGCGCCTTAACCCAAGTGGTGGAGTTGTTGAGCTGAGTTTATGAGCTGTCGACGGAGGAGTGTCTGAAGATGCAGTTGTTGGTCGGGTTACTTCCGTTTCTGTCGCACTTGCTATCTCCTCTGCGATTTGATGTCTAGGGAAAAAAAATATTTTGTCGTGAATTAAATGAGGATCGGAGAGCAGCTTTACAGTATGGTGGCATCTCTTTTTCCAAAAAAGTAAACCGAACCCCCTCATGGAGAAAGTATCACTTGAAAATATAGAGTTTTTTTCGATCCGGATCAAATCTTGAGTCGCCTAAGTCGCAATAAAAAAAGACTTTCCACTGTATCTGGCTAGATGGCAAAAGGCAGTCACAGGATCAATCTTATGTGGAAAGTTTCCCCCTTTAGAAACAACTCTCCTAACAGAAAATAGTAATTTGCGATAGTTTCATATTTCGATAGAGGACTTAAGCACGCAAGATGTTTTAACAAAACGGCAAACGTCCAAAAATGTTGAAACTTAAAAGCCATCTGCCATCTGCCGTTTGTACAACTGAGAACAAAAGATTGTTTCCAACTCAGACATTTTATTTCTTGCTGACCGAAATAAAGAATACAACCGTTACAAAAGTAAGCAAATCAGTTAACTTTTCTTTTTTTTAAATTTACCCTTGCAATAGAAGCGAAACTAAAATAACCAGAGTGTAAACAGCTTATAGCTAAATAAGCTTCGCTAGTGTTTAATGACATTGTACAAAATATGACTGGGTCCAAATTCTTACTCGTGAAGTACATAATACAAACACCCTGCAGATACCTCGCTTCAGCTGTTAAGTCAAATGCTCCACATGGCAAAGCATCATCCTGCTGATCAGAAGGCATCTGCGCCAACTCTGAGCTGAAATGGTTACTTTGTACCATGACTTGTTGTCTATGAGAAACAACGAAATGAGAACGTCAGTTATTACCTCAGGACCATTGCTAATGTAATGCAAAGCATAATGTTCTGCCTATTAACAATGTGATTTCATGGCTGCCCATCATGGTCAAGCCTAACCTTTTGACTTTGAAGTGATTAACATGTAACTTCTCCCTAAAATATCCACACATTCTCCAGCAAACAGGTGATGAGAATACTCTAACTTACATTTATTTTAATTATAAATTGCACAGCCTTGTCCACTCATCACTAATCATCCTTATAAAAAATGTGATTAATTTACATTTCCTCTGTGAAGAAAAGAAAGTCAAATACTCTTCCAAATACATGCAACTATTAAGGTGGTAGTGGTGTCTTTTACTCACTTTTCTGGCAAGGTCAGCTTTGTCCTGTAAGCAGCAGATAAAGTAATGGAACCAACTGGGGTACCTATGGAGCCTACTCTCAGGGTAGCAAAGCCTGCACAAACATAAGGAACAACATCAAGTTATAGAAAATCTGATATTCTAATATCTATACATTCTAAAATTGTTGATAATCAGTTTTCATTCTACTCATGAAATTTTTTTTAAGGCTGAACACACCTTCTCCTAAATCTTGAAACCTTACTTCACCAAAGTAAACCCTGCAAAAAATTCAAATCCAAATCACTTTTGTAACTTTTGTTAAACCAATAGATTCACCTCTCAAATTGCCCTGTTTGCCCTTAAGAAACAAAAAAAAAATTTTACAGGAGATTATAACTAATCTTATAAATGGCAAAATTAGTTGCCCCCCCCCCCCCCCCCCCCCATAGTAGGTGGACAACAACCTTTTGCTTAACATGATAAACAGAAATGAAATGTTGCCACCAGGCAACATTGCAATGATTGACAGGGGGAGATAATACCATTAAAAAAGTAGTATGCATGCTAAGACTGTTGCCGTCCATTCTAATTACTTCTACCATATTTCACATACCCAGTGACACTTTGAGTATTCCTCCTAAAGAAATGTTCTTGCATTACTTTAAATATACTCAATCAAAATTTCTTACCTGTAACACAGAATGAAGTCTGTCCCTTGCTTGCGTGACAGTTGATAAGCTGGTGTAACTCTTGTCACTGATGTAAGAGACTTGAGAAGCACTCCAATTCTGTTATAAACTGTGTATGTCACCTTGGCATTAGGATCAATCCTAAAAGAAAATTCTACATTTCACTGTAATGTTATGGTTATATACAAAACCTCAATAGTCTTAAGTTTTCTATAAAATCAAGTAGTGTTGAAAATCATAATTTTTATCTGATCAGTACCTGTCATTCATACTAAGACACCATGTCTCTAACAACATAGATTCTCCCTGTTTTAATAAAAGGAACAACAAACCATTAGCAATGTTGGTGAAATGCTGTTTTTTTTTTAACTCTTTTTATTTCAAGTCCAAATTGTTTATTAAGCATTTTGTTATTACAAATTATTATTATTATTACAACAAAAAGAAAACCAGTTTTCACTACAAAAAACAAATGATTTAGTCATTACGTCATGCAGTAAAGAGCATGTCTCTTTAGAGTAAAAGTATAATTAACAATTGGTTCATACATTAGCATGTGTTCATCAAGATATGAAGCATGCAGGAAGTTTGGAGAGAATGAAAGATGTGTAAGAGTTGCTCGAGGCTATGCCTCAAGCAACTCTAGCTTCTTGAGTGCTCTCCAAACTTCCCAAGTGCTTCATATCTTGATGAATGCACACTAACGCATGAACCAATTGTTTTATAACATTCTCAACCCAACGGAAAATTTTTATTCTCGAGGGATTTGTTTGCTGACGTCATGTCCATGCACAATAGGAATATGAAGCACGCTCGCGCAATTGAATTTGATTAGACAAATTTACTAGCTATGTTATAATAAACTTTGCTCTATAAAACTGCTTAATCCTTTACACCCAACATCAGTACGCATATTCTCCATACTGTTCTCTATATATTTCCTAAGGTGCTGATAAGGAGAGTTTTTCAATCAAGAACATCTCTAGTTGACAATCATTTCCTTTATTCTCATGACCTTAATGTCTGATTCAGGTGGGATATTGTAAGGAGAAATTGGATTCTAATCACTCTTAAGGGTCAAAGGGTCAAATATCCAGATTTCAATTTTGTTCTAGTTTCTTTAGCAGTGACTTTTTACATTCCATTCCCTGTTTTTAACAGGAAACTGAAGATCTATGTACAACAGTATAATGTAAAGGCTCTTACATCTCTAGACTTCAGAGATATCTCCACACACATGGCACTGTCTTTAGAAGGAAGCCTTCCATTTATCATCACTTTTTTTACCTCTGATGTTACATCTGGGTTATCATTTATTGCTAGATTGAACTGAAAGGAAATATTCTCAAAAAATTAAAATTAGGAAAATTAAGTAAAAATAAATAAGATATAATTATAATGCAGAAGAATCCTACAGAAACCACCATAAAAATATTCTCTTCTCCCTCCCATTGAAGTGTGCAGAAAATTGATTATTTACAACAATTTGAGATTCCAAAGAGTAATTTAACCATTAGAAAATATTGCTTTAACAATTACCTGAGTTAAATATGCCTTTTTTGGTTTATGTAAAAAAAAAACAGATTGCCAAGAGATGGAAGGTAAAGAAGTAAGGTGTCAGACTTTGTTACACCACAAGTGAGCAGCCTTGTTGTGAAGCAGGAATCAAAATGATGGGCCAGAATTTGTACTCAAAGTTTCCACACATTTCAAGACAATCTTTGAATACTTTGATCTTTCTTTGGAATCTCAAAATGCTGTCAGTGCAATAAATTGTTATACTTTTTAAATGTTCCAAGTAAAAAAGATTATAGTTTGGCTAGTAAGCTGAAAACTATACCAGTTTTCCTCTAAATATCTGCTGTATTAATTGTCAATGGTTTCAAGTGTTCTACCATTTATATGGTTTTCTAATGATCCAACATTTAGTATAGGTAATAAGCACACAAGTAAATTTTTCAAAGACAAAAAAATTACAGCAGCTCACAAGGCAAGTGCAATTTGTAGTCATTTACAAGTGCTTATTACACCAAACTGCATCAGAAATCATGCTATAACTTGTTAATAAAGTACATGAAAAAACATCGCAGAAAGTCAAGAGAGATGAAATTTTAAAAGTGTGCACAGGCTATTCTTAACTTTACACTCATGTTACATGAGAATGCATTTGTTTTCAGCCAATCAGAAGCACGTAATGTTTTCATGCACATTATTATACTGTTTACCAGGTTTTAAACCTTACCCAGTCTTGGCCCATTGCAGTAGGTTTAGACTTGGTATGAATCTTTTCTCCTAGACGTGACTGAACAATCACTTGCACTGCCTTAAATAAAAGAAAAATATCTTAGATAAAAAACATAAACTTTTACCTGACTATCAACTGCTCTCAGCAGATTAAGAACTAGATCCCATGCCACCATGCATCTGTTCAGTAAGACAATCCAACCTGTATTAACCGGCTTTAACTCCCAAGATCTGATTGGTAATTCTCCTCTCTAACTGCTACACATATCCTTGTAAATTAGTAATGAGAAGTTGTTGGTAGATCAAGTCAACAACTTCTACCTTATATGTTTGAATATTCTCATTAGCTGTTGGCTGGATAATGTAAGGATATCATTGGGAGAACTTTCATATTGATCACTTCTGGAAGTTAAAGGGTTATGTGGCACTGTATTAAGTGGTCAACCTGTATTAAGTAGTAAGTAGTCAAAGTCACAAATTTTCTCCCCTTTAACACTGTAATTTTCACCTCTATTAAGCTGCCCTAATTACCCTTTACTGACTCACAACAGCCTGAGCAGAACCATTCAAATACTACTCAAGCTTTAGGACTATATCTGTTTCAACATGTTTCAATACTGTTTCACCTTTCCAGGAGCAAAGCTAATTGAAGAAGACTGTTAGAGCTTTATTATTACTCTTTGGTGCAATTTCAGTTTCATTAATTTGTCTCAGACTTCTCCCAACACACTCTCTGTTTCTCCAAGCATAAATTTGAGAACAATGATATCAGCTTGAAATTAATTATATTCAAAGAATAGGCAAGGAATGACACGGGAGCTGAAACCTCTCTTTCTAATTTCCATTGGGTTTCAGTTTCAGCTCTCATTTATTTATGTCTAGTGGGTTTCTGAAGCTAACAGATCTAAAAATGAGCCCATCGTTGTAATTCTCGAACATTGCCGACAAAAATTTAAAGAATCACCACGATACAAAAGTGTATTGGTAATATTAAGATGTATCATCATTGCTAGAATGATAGAAAAAATGATCATGAACAAAATTCGGGCATTTAGCTTCGCCATATTGGAAGCTTTTGCATCCGTCACAGACGCGACATAAATAGCCTTTAACATACCGTCAGAGTTTCGTTGGCGCTAGCTCCGCTTCAGTGATATACAAAACGTTTTCACTCTCACTTCGCCCGCGGGCTAAATATTCAAGAATTCAGGGGCAAAATCCTTCTAATTTTGGGTAATTTTAGCCTTAAATTAACATGCTTTTTACTTCACATTTTTAACAGGCAGTTTTGTGTACTTACATTTTGGTTCCAAAATCATAACACTGAACATATGCCGACAAGAATTACGTTTTCTCCGTTTGGGGTACTCACAAAAATCTACCACCGAAAATGTATTGAATAAAGTTCTTATATTTCCTATTATTTTTAGCTAAAAGTAAAAACTGGCAAAACCATAACCAAGTTTACAAGCGTCAGAAATCTAAAAAAAAAAAACAAAACATGCAAACCCCGTACCTTCTGCGATAGAAATTTCAAAAACTTCTTGAGATCTCTCTCTTCTTGTGCACCCAGAGACCCAGATTTCTCCTCCATATCAATCGTAAAAGACTATTAGAATTTAGCCCACTGCGGAATACTGTACGAGGAATTGTCAAAAAATACGAAACTACAGAACACATCCCTGCTGACGACCACCAGTTTCCGCCATCATATTGAAAACAACTCTAACTAGTACCAGACTGTCAACGGCCTATGTGCGAAACGTGGCAGGTAAACGTTGACGTAGAAATGGGTTACGGGTGGGGAGACTCGGGCGGTGATTAGCAGTGAGGTTGCCTGACAAGAGACTGAAATGCTGGGCTGTGTCATTTCAGCTATGAAACATTATTGAATAAAGTTTATTTTGCTATCTCCTGCTTTTAGAGTTTAATTCGCTTCGACCGGCTTCAAGTTTTGCCTATTTTCGAAAAAATCTATAACATGTAATTATTTACGTATTTTCTCCCGAAGGCATCACGTTACACCTACTACGTTGTGTTCGTACATTTTGATTATTTTATTTCAATTATACCAAAAGTTTCTAAACTACCTGAGAGGGTGGATCATTTAGGACTACTTAATACATCATAACTAAAAACAATTGTTGAAAATAATCAGGGATTGCCAACCTCGTTCCCATGGCCGTTCCCTTACTTGCGGAAGTAAGGGAAAAGGCCATGGGAACGAGGTTAAGAGATTGCATACATTTTTTAACCCTCCAATTGAAAGAGACAAAAAGTTAGTCTCAACTTGGTCACTCGCCATTTCCCGCGTTCAGGCGATTACCTCCTTCTGATGTTCTCCTTTGCTTTGGTTGGCTGTTGCAATTAATTAGACTGCAGTTTTACCACAGTTGATCGGAAAGCGCTCAATACTATATAGAGCCCTAACCTCTTATCGGAGCATTAGTGATGTAGTGATGAGGCATTTATACAATACATTATCTATTTACGGGCGGATGCTTTATGGCATTGATTGGCCACAGATAACTCTTTGGGAAGCTAAGAAATGTTCATACTAAAAATGCATTCTGACAACTTCTTGAATCAGACCTGCTGGACCTGTTTCAGTCAAAGAACGAAATACGGTAAGATCTGAGCTCACTGATGATGAGTCTCCTATCAGCGAGGGATTATAAATTTATATGCTATACAAATGATACATTTGAAACCATTTACATCTTTTTTGTAAGCGGAAGGGAGGAAGAAATAAAGCTTTCAGATGGTATTCTACTTCTTGCATTGCATGGCATGTAGTTTGTTCTCCTATTTAAGTGAGTCAAAAAGCATTTGATGCGCACCAAAACGTTTTTTAAGCAACCTCCCATGCCACACACACTCGGACACTTCCATGGTTTTCTTGTTTCCACGAAGGTCGCATCCAAGCGTTATATCATGCAACGTCCTTTTCGCGAATTCATCATAAATTTTCTTTGCAAAATGTTTGCAATTATTTACGTTCCAAAAGTACGTCTTGTTCAGTTCGTCTTCTTCATGAAGAAACTCTATAAGATCCTTCATGGTTTTCTGTCCGACGTCAGAGCTGACTCGAATTAATGGAGTTTTCCTCTTGTTGTTGTTTGCGTAGTCGAGGACTCCACCATATCCCTTGAAGTGTTTGCTTCTCTGAATGAGAATTACTTCCGAGTTCTTCTCAATGGACCACCACCAGTTCTTTGTTTTAATCACGACAAACTGGTGATTCAAAAATAGCTGAGTACGCTGCCAGTCGCACACCCAAATGTTCAATATATTCTCACTAAAGTCGATCAGTAGACTCATGGTCTGAACCAACACGTCATGGTCAATTAAGTATATGTGACCACGCCCTCTGTTGTCACATAGCCACTCTTCCGCGCTCCTAGAGCACAGCCAGTCTCTTTTTATTACGTACTCCAGCGCAGAAGAAGGCTTTTCAGATTTGGAATAAAAACTCACGAGCTTTCTCCAAGCTCCGCCTGTGGTTCGAGACATTTCCAAGTGAAACCTGAAACGTGAAGATCTTGAATTTAGAACTTTCACCTTCCACTCCTAGGGAGGTGCGCACAAACCGTTTTAGATAATAAGTAGCTGTGTACTCAAGTGAATCGAAATTTTAACCAAAAATTTCAGCATACTGCTCTTTGAAGTATCAGTTACTATTTGTCAGACAAACAGGCTCGCCCCTTAGCTTTGTAACATTCAAATAGCAAAGCTCGAAATCGAAAATGTTCTCAATGGGGAGAAGTGTCGAAAACCCGTCCTCGACTCCTATTTGTCTTTGAGAAAGAAAAACAAAAATAGTATAATGAGTGTAAATATATTCTTATTATTATGCATCACTCATGCAAGTGTTTCAGTGAATGATGAGCGTATAGCGGTTAATAGAACGTTACGCATGGCCTGCTGAACGTCTGGGCCATACTTACTCGGCGGAAGTTTCAATTACTTTTTCCACTAGAGGCTGCCTCCGGAACTTCGGGAAAATCGTTTTGTAGTTCGCCCACATTCGCTCATTTTTCTAGGGTAAAAAAAGTTGTGAGTCGCAGTTTATGTGACATGATTGTTATTTGCTGCCCATCGTGTAACGCTGATAAGTTTTATGTTTCTTACACAACGTATTTTGCAATTTTGACGCCAGTGAATGTTCTGCTGACAGTAGTCTTAGGGGTGCGGGGGCGCCATGCTCCTGGCCTCGCTTTGAAGGATGTTTGATGGCGGCTGCCATCTTCCGTCTCCAATTTAGCCCGAGAGGACCGAATATCCACCATCGCGTCGCGATTGGCACCGGTAGCTAGTTTCCTGCAACCCTAAAACGGTACAAGTCGGATTACACAGTTCTGGTCAGTCATCAAGTGAATATTCCACTTGCATCGGACCTGAGCCTAGGTGCTTGTGAAGTGGGCTGTGTCAGATTTGAAGACTGATATTGTGGAACACTATACTACTCAACCAAGATGCCCGCGGTAAAAGGAGAGGGAATGAGGGGCTTAGCCGTTTTCATTTCTGACATTAGGAACTGTAAGTGACAGTAAAAATTTTCATCTTTCTAAGTTTCTCGAAGGTGTTTTCATTTTTGAGTCTGTGTCGCGTTTGACACGTGTGTCTTGATCGGTTGAAATCAACTATGTGATCGTTCTCAGCGTTTCGCTTCATCGCGGCATTCTGTCACACGCGGGATTCAAACATCCCTTATTGTTTCAGGTAAATCTAAAGAAGCTGAGATGAAGCGGATAAACAAGGAGCTTGCAAATATTAGAAATAAATTCAAAGGTAAGTTTGCGTATTTACGAAACCGTACGTTCAAATCGAACTTGGTAAGTTTTCGTTATGAGCTAATCTCATCGGAAGATGGAACGTGTTCGGTTTCCATTTCATACTTTTTTTTGTTTTCCTCAGGCGATAAGCAGTTAGATGGTTACCAAAAGAAGAAGTACGTTTGCAAGCTTCTGTTTATATTTCTTCTTGGCCACGATATCGATTTTGGTCACATGGAAGCCGTGAATCTGCTATCGTCTAACAAGTATACGGAAAAACAAATCGTAAGTATTCCCAAGCAATATGGAAGCGCCCCTTAATTATTTTGATTTACACGAGTTAAAAATGTTTGCTTTTTGAAGCTGCCATACCAGACCAACTTAAACATTTAACGCGGATTTCAAACTGTGAAAGCACTCAGGGAGGATATTTTCGCTAGATTAAACACCAAATTTTGATTCCACTATGGGTTAATCAAACCGCGATCTTTTAATATTGATGAACAACCGAAAGTTCCCATTTTCAAGAAGTAAAAGTACATCGAAACTTTTTACATTTGGTCAGGTACTGCCGGTATTTAAAGCGTCTGCACGACAGTTGAGGTGAAAAATCAATCAACAGCGGCAAAGCTAATTTTACCTTCGATTCACCTATTTCATGCATTTTTAACGGTTTCCCGTAGATACTTAAATTTTAACACCACTCAAATTTTGTTCCCGCAGATAATCTTATCACAGGGTTATTTTCTGTGTATTTTTGTTAAAGTTGAATTTATAGATACCTTAATTATAAGATATAATTTTGATTATACCGTGTACACGAGTTTTTAAAGGTACATGTATTTACATGTTCCATGCTCTTGGACTTTCTTTGTAAATTAAATGCAACTGGCCCTAGAAAATAACTTTTTGTGCCTTTCAAGTAGATCTTTCATTTATTGTTAGGGAGTGTCAATATTTTTTAATACTTTTATTGCAAGTCAAGAGTTCAGAAGAGTTTCAACATCACCCAACTTGTAACTTAAGAGCAATAGCCTGGAATTTTCCACACAGGGTATTAGTCTTCCATGTCGTGTATTGCCATAATGGATTTCCTCCAAAGATTTCTCATTCTGCTTTAAATCTCCCAAGTAAGGCTAGGGTAGTTTGAATTCTCTAGATTTCGTGTATCTTAAAGTGCTGCAATTTAAGGTGCTTTTAAAAAATAACAATGAAAAAGTCATAGCTTTAAGCACTAGGAGCCATTTGCAGCAGGATGACAAACTGTTTTTGTGTCATCTTGACAAACATTTCCTCAAATGTGACTACTCAAAATGCTAATCGTGAGAGAAACTTATTAAATTCTTTTCAGTTTGATTTTTGTCATCCCAGAGTAAAGGTAGTGTTGCTGGTATTCAGAAAGCGGTATTTAAATTAAGCAAGGAAATTTGGCAACTGGGACTTCAGAGATGACGATTGTACCTTTGAAATAAAAATAAAAATTGTTGTATTGATTGGTTGCATCCCAAGCTAAAAGGCAAAATTAAACATTATCTATGCTCAATGCCCAGATGCAACCTAATCATAAAAATCAAGTAAGCTTCTGTCACAAAATCATAAATTTTGTTGATCCTTGGAGATGAAAGGTTGTGCCCAGAGTTGACTGCCATGGCATTTGGTGAGCTTTCACACAATTTATTAAAGGAGGGAAAACAATGAGGTACATAAGAAAATTTAACTTGCTCTTTTTTTTAAACTTTTTGGTGTTGATTATTTTAAAGTTAGATATGGATTTGACATCATAAAAACATATAATGTAAAGTATACTCAGTCTCAAACACCCTTGTTAAACAGGAAAAATTGTAGAGAAGTCTATTTCAATATTTTTCACAATATGAAGTGACTATGGTATTAAATGTATTTTGATTGAATTAGTCACTGAACCTTTCAAATTTTTAGGTATGGTGTTGTGGTTAGAACTGTGCAATGTTTTGCAGTTGACAAAGCCAACTGGCATCTGCCCTACACACCTGTTCTCATTTAAAACAATTCACAAATTTTGACATTGTTATCAGACAAATTTAAATATTTGATCAGATACTTTGTCCCTTAAAAAAGCATTCAAGAGAAATTTGTATCCATTGTATTAAATTGTGCCCACATGTAATCTGATTATCTTCTTTTCACTATGACAAGCTAATGGAATAACTGTAATAAGCAATAAAAGCAGTTACATTAAAATTTATCACCCATAAAGAATAGCTGAGTGACAGCTTAATAGGGGTCACTTTCCAATACAAATTCCATGGAATTATTCATAATTTTGTTTTAGTGGTTTTATTTTAACTCTTTACACCCTAACATCAGTATCTATGTTCTCCATTTTCTTCTCTATACATTTCCTTGAGTACTAACATGGAGAATTTGTATAACAATCAATGCTTCTTTGGATAGTGATTATTCTCTTTATTCTCATTATCTTAATGAAAGATTCAACCATATATCTGTATGGAGAAATTAGATGTTGGTCACTTTCAGGGTTTCAAAGGTTAAGGTACTGTTAAATACAGGTCAAGACGATTGAGAGAAGAGCAGTTGAAACTTTATAAAGATGGCTGTAACTGCTAAGTAGAGGTCAAAATTACTATGATTAATAATGGTATTTGAACTAATTGAGGGGAGTGCAATTTGGGCTGAAATCATACGCATGATTTGAAATCACAAGTATGATTTCGGACCAAAATTACATGACACGAGGTTCAATTACCACTTTATCACATCCATTTTGAAATCACCTAAATACAGGACTTGGTCATTTCAAACATTTTATTGATGCAGTACTGAGCAGGACTGAAATTAAATTCATCCATTTTTTTTGGGGGGGGGGGGGGGAGTAAGAGTTTTGGAAACAAAATTTGCCACATAATACTCTGTCTTTCATTTTTCTGCAATTTGATCAGTTACTTTAAACAAGCCTTGAAATCTGATAGGTAGTTTCATTTTTAGTGTAACCTCCTCATTGCCTGGGAAAAAGATGTGATTTAAAGCAAAAATTGGTGCGATTCATGAATAAATCACACCAAGTAGAGCCAATCAGATTACAAGGACCACCAGTGATTTCAAAATGGGTGTAATAAAGGGAGAAACTGGGCTCTTTGACAAATAACCATTTATTAGAGGTTTGATATTACTGCTAAATAATGTACTGGCTAATACAAGTCTAACTGTAACTACTATGGGCTATATTTTCTGCCTCCTTCAACCTGTTTCCTGAGTGATTGAAATTTGAATAGTATTGCTTAATACTTGTGTATTTTTTCTTTTATATTCAGGGGTACCTTTTTATCTCAGTCCTTGTGAGTGCAAACAGTGAACTCATCAAGCTGATTATCCAAAGCATCAAGAATGACTTGTCCAGTCGCAATCCCATCAATGTCTGTCTTGCTCTACAATGCATTGCAAACATTGGCAATGAGGAGATGGTAGAGGCAGTCGGCAAAGAAGTCCCCAAGTTATTAGTCTCCCCCGACACTAATGACAGTGTGAAGCAGTGCGCTGCACTCTGTGTTCTGAAACTCTTCAGGCTTAAAACAGATATCTTGCCTCCTGGAGAGTGGACATCAAGAATAGTTCAACTGTTAAATGATAAGCATCTGGTGAGTGAATGGTTGTTTAGCCTTTAAAATTGAAGAAATCCATTTTCTTGCCTTCTAGAGAAAATGACTTAATCCTTTCACTCATAAGATCTGATTGTCAATTCTCCCCTTTAGCTACTAAACATTTCCTTGTAAATTAATTACAAGAATGTGGTGTTAGATCAAGATAACAACTTCTACTCGATAAGTTTGATTATACTCATTACCTGTTTGCTGAATAATATATGGATATTTTAGAGAGAAGATACATGTTAATCACTTCTGAAAGTTAAAGGACTAAAGAGTGTGTTTGCCCCAGGAGACAAAATTGCTTCCCAATTGAGATAGCTGCTTTTTATGTTCAGACTTTGTTCGATATTCACTGGCTAAATGTGTGTGATTTACATTCTCATGAGAATGTGAGGGTTTTATATCAGTTCAGTTAGTAAGTGATGGTCTGATTCAAAGTGAACTTAAACCCACTTACCAGTAATTACAGTCTTTTAAAAGTACTTTTATGTACTGTTATTTTCATTACAATAAGTACACTGTATATTGACAAGCAAACAAGCAATGAGAAATAAGAAAATATCTCTGAGGGAATTTTGTCTAGTTGAAACACCAGATTTCTAAGAATAATTCATCTAGAAAAACGTAACCATCATTTGGGAGTATTGGGTTTTGATTCTTGATCTTAGGAGGCAGAAGAAATTTGCTTATGGTGATTGTTTTTTGCGGGTCATTTTCTCTTGTACATTTCTGCTTTGACTACTGAGACCTCTATGTGAGCAGTTTTATGCTCTGTTTTTAGAGAAAAGCTTTTTTTGTTTTGAAATGTCTGAAAGTTACAATTTGGACTGGCATTAATGTGATTGTTTACCCACTAGGGTGTGGTAACCTCAGCAGCCAGCCTTATCCATGGATTTGTCCATTATTTTGCGGACGAGTACAAGGGTTGTGTTCAGCTTGCAGTCTCAAGACTTAGTAGGGTAAGAGTATTACAGCATGCTATACCTTCTGGTTGTTCATAAAGCTGTAGTGTTCATGCATTCCATAATTCTGCACAATGACCATCTGACCTTTTGGACTGTTTTATACTCTGACATAATAAACATTGATTTCCTTTTCAATAGATTGTGACATCATCTTACACGGACCTTCAAGACTACACCTACTACTTTGTTCCTGCTCCATGGCTTTGCGTCAAGCTTATTAAACTTCTCCAGATGTACCCTCCTCCAGGTGATCAGTTCATCTTATTCTTTGTGATCCAATTGGTTCAGATTTGTTGCCAATATATACTGCTGGTGGCAATGTGCTATGTATTAAGATACATGATACTGATAGCATACTGCAAACAAACAAATTAATTTGTTGCAAGCTAAAACTTAGAAGTTAAACTTGCTGGAGGAAAATTAGCCTGTACTGAAGGTGTTTTATTTGGAACATAGGTTAGCATTTCTGGCTTGCGATCATTCACCAAGCTGCCATATTTGATGAAGTGATGAAGGGTTAGAGTGGAAGATTGTTGGGGGGCGGAGAGGGGTTCTCTTCTCAACTTTCGCTCTACTTTTAAAATTGAAGATAGTATAGAAACCTTTTGCTTAGAATTACTGGGTGTTCCCTTGCTCAAAATAGATGTACAGGAAAACTGAAAAATTCCATTCTTGTTTAGCTGAAGTCAGCAATTTTTCATTTTGATTTTGTTTGTGAAGGACTGCCTCCTAACTGAATTTGTGTTTTTTTACCCAATTCCTGTTTGTTCTTGTTAGATGACCCTGCTGTCTTTGGGAGGCTAAATGAGTGTTTGGAAACCATTCTCAACAAGGCTCAGGTATGTTTTTTAGCATTTCCATGCAACAGTGCTTATGTTACATCATACTGCTTTGAAATTAATCCTCTCTTAATGTTGCTTGCCTTACTCAATAAAATAACAAAATTTTCTTATTTCTTAATTTTTTGCTGAATAGACCTCTGTAAACATTGATTGTTGTGTGGCCAAAAAAGGAATTAAGAAATATAGGGACTGGAAGTTGTAGCTACAATTGGTGACAAATTGTTGACACGATCTTTTCAAACCCTCATTACTTCAATTTTATCTCTTTTGCTTTCTTTAAGTTAACCCAGTGCCCCCTTTCTTCCCCTCCCCCCCTCCCCCCCTCCCCCCCCCCCCCAAAAAAAAGATGGTGTATCATGACTCCATGAATTTTTAGCTAAAACTGAATGGGGAAGGGGGATCTTGTTGATGATTTTGAGTGTGGTAGAAACAGGAGTGTTATTCTACACATAAAGAGAGCTTATCAAACACAATGTGTCAACTAATTTTAATGCTGAATGTAGCTTTAAGTCCAAGTTTTGAGCTCAATGTTTTTTTTTCTTTCTCTCACTCTCTTTCAGGAACCACCCAAATCAAAGAAAGTTCAGCATTCAAATGCAAGGAATGCTGTCCTCTTTGAAGCAATCAATTTGATTATACACATGGACAGGTAACCAGCAAAGTTTCTTTCTTGCATGGAGAGCAATACAAACTTTTGAGTTGAACTCTGATGTTGCCATTTCCTTAGTTATTTAAGTTTTCAGTTGAGTAGGTTAAAGGATTTATTTAAGTGGGCTCTTCACTTGAGCCACTCATTAGACAACATTACCCCAAACACCTTAATGCCACAGAAAGTAGTTTTATTTTGGGGCATAAATGAATTGCCAAGCTGGAAAACCCGAGGTTAGGAGTGTTGAATCAATGGTGTTGCCAAAACTTGTTTTCTAGTCGATAGCACTCTCTGATTTTCAGCAAAGTGACTAAGTTTCATATTGTTTTGTTGTGTTTATAGTGAACAAAGCTTGTTGATAAGAGGCTGTAACCAGCTGGGTCAATTTTTGACACACAAGGAGACCAACTTGAGGTATGATGAGTTTGGTTCTTTTTGTGAGAACATGCATGCATGGGCCATCAAACATCATAAAATACCAAATCAGATTATATCATAGATGGGATTATAGATGGGCACCCCATGCATAGTAGGCATCAGGAAGTTGCTTGAAGCCCTAAACAGCCCTTTCCAATTTGGACCCAAAAGTTATTTTGCTTATGGATGGTGACAAATTATTCTTCATTGCTTTAGATTCCAATAAACTTAGCCATGTATTTCATGTAACAATTATATATGGATGGCATTTCTGAATGCCTTTGCTATTATAGAGTGGCTCAAGATCCGAAACAACAAACTCTTGCCAATTTTGATTTTAATGATATTTATATGTTATTTGAATTGTGAAATATTATTTTTATTTTGGGGGATTCCAGTGTACTCAGTGACATATATCAAGTAAAGAATGACATGGATTTGTGCATGTTTTTGTTATTGGACTTGTGGTTACCACCCATCACCTCAGTACCTCAGGGTTGTAAAAATAAACCAGCAACTGGCACATTTCATTGTCTGTTCAGAAAAATGCCCCAGCTGTTCCAAATGCTTATGGCTCAATTTTGAACATAAAAGAATGACACTGTGCTGCTTCCTTTGTATCACAATCTGGTCACTAAAAATCTTTTTGAAGGGTAGTATTACACTAAATACTCTTACTGGTCAAAACATGTAAAAATTAGCAAGACATTTAATCCAGTGGACATTCTTGTTTTCTTTTCTTTTTATCATTGTTCTTTGAAATTCATTTTATAGGTATCTTGCTTTGGAAGGATTGTGCTTGATGTCAAATTCTGAGTTTTCAGTTGATGCAGTTAGGAAACATCAGGAGACTGTTGTTGGAGCACTGAAGGTGAGGAGGACAGATTTTAGATCTTTTACAGATTTAAGATCATTGCAAGGTTGAGAGCCCTGGCTTATTGTCGATGTGTATAACAAAGTGTATTTTTGTTTACTCTAGACTGAACGAGATGTCAGTGTACGTCAAAGAGCTGTTGACCTCCTCTATGCCATGTGTGACAAAAACAATGCTGAAGAGATTGTTTCTGAAATGTTAACTTACCTGGAAACTGCTGATTACTCCATCAAAGAGGAAATGGTAAAAAAAATGTATTAAACATACTGTAAAATAACTTAATTTAGCAACATATTTTAAAGGAAGGTACTGTATATATACTCCATATGGAGAGCTTTTAGTCTCTGCTGCATTTCTCTTCAGAATGAAGATTTCTTTCTTCATTCAAGTAATAGGTGGGTCAAAAGTTTGTGATGTGAGATCATCTCATTTCTGTCTTAGAATTTCACCAAATTAATTTTTTTAGGATCTCAAAGCACGAGAGGTTTTTCCAAGGCCTGATTAAAAAGAGGTTCTAATTTTGTTTTTCTTTTGCAAGGTGTTGAAAGTGGCGATACTTGCAGAGAAGTTTGCAACAGATTATTCCTGGTACATGGACACTATTCTTACACTTATAAGAATTGCTGGGGATTACGTCAGTGAAGAGGTATGGATAAGTGTCTTTATTGTCCACTAACAAGGGTAGCTGGTATAAGAAGCCTTTTGAGAGATTCCCTGTTTCTGAGAGGTGAACACATTCAACTTTAGATTGATTTGTATGGGTAGTTTTATCATTATGTCAGCAGTAAGAACTTCTGAGTGCTCTACAGTGCTTCAACAACAAGCAGTGCTTTGTTTAGATTGGAAACAAATTGAATAGAAAGCAAGTTGTTCTTTAATCATTATTATTTAAGTTTAACAACATTTCTTGTAGGTTTGGTTTCGTGTGATCCAAATAGTGATAAATCGAGATGACATCCAGGGCTATGCTGCAAAGACAGTGTTTGAAGCACTGCAGTCTCCGTCATGCCATGAGAACATGGTCAAAGTTGGTGGCTACATTCTTGGAGAGTTTGGAAATCTTATTGCAGGAGACCCAAGGTCAAGGTATGATTTTCAGCTGTTACAAAGCTGAAGCTGATTGTCTATCTTTCGCTTTCCAGGCTGCTTGGTGGCAATGGAAATGGCTATGATACTCAATTATTTCCAGTCTTAAACACTAATTTTTAAATTAAATGCGTTTGATGTAATCTTCATTTATTAACAATGCAAATAACAAATACCATTCCAATTTTATATTAATTTGCCGTTTTTCTTCATGACTTTTTATATTTTCAAATTCTTATCACTTGTCATAATTTTTTGTTTTTGGAGTTTGCCACCCCTTCCCTCAAATTGAAGTGTTCATGGAACACATAAAGTTAGCTTTAATCAAAATTTTGCCCATTATATTATGATCACCACCTAGCTGCTGCCCTCTTTAGTGTCACTTGCTTTTTATTGTCTTTCTTTTAGTCCCATGGTTCAATTCCAGCTGCTGCACAGTAAGTTTCCACTTTGTGCATCCTCCACAAGAGGCCTGCTGATGTCAACATACGTCAAGTTTATTAACCTCTTCCCTGAGATCAAGGGATACATCCAAGAGGTACAAAGAGAGTTCTTAACTTATTTTGTGTGAAATAAAGCTCCTGTTGCAACACACCATTCTATTTTGACTCTATGAAATTACTTTTAGAAATTCCTCGAAAATTGCTGAAATTAAAAAATTTGTCTAACCACTTCATATTTCTCATTTTTTTTAGGTATTATTACTTCCAGCTATTTTACAGAATTTGTTATTTTATTGGAAAAAATTTTGGTCAGAATAACCCTTGGTAATGTGTTAAATTTTATTCTCCCAGATTTTGCGTAGTGATAATAACCTCAAAAATTCTGATGCTGAGATCCAGCAGAGAGCTTTGGAGTACTTAAAGCTTAGTACTGTTGCATCTCCAGATGTTTTGGTAAGGTTAACATTTTGAGCTTTTGTAAAGATCATAGTGGAGTGTTTCTACCTTATTTGTTACATTTTCATTGAAAATGTTGGTGGTAATAGGACTTTTTCTGCTGGTCCTGTATTGGCTGAGTTAAAAGTTGTGAATTAAAGAGATGATTTATCATTAAGAACACATCAGTGTGAAAACAGTGAAACTAGTTTGTTTGAGTTCCCTTGGTTACTGTTGGTTGAAAAAATGTATGGTAAAAGCTATAAAGAGTATGATTATAGAATAAACACAAAATTTCACGAGATGCCGCTCCAAGATCATATATATATATATATATATATATAGTTAAATGTTACCCATCCCATTTCAGCCTTAAATCTGGAAAACTCTTCTCACTTTGTCACAGAATTGTCCCTTCATTTTCTCCTCATAGGCTACTGTTCTTGAAGAGATGCCACCATTCCCAGAACGTGAGTCTTCCATCTTAGCAAAACTGAAGAAAAAGAAGCAGGAGAAAACAGGAATCATTGAGAAAGAAGAGAAGACTGAACCAGTGGAAAAACCAACTGCTAACGGCCAGGTTCCTGTTACTATTAACGAGGTACACATGCTGTTTGAATATTGTAAAAGTCCATGATTATTGTGGAAAGTAATTCTGAAAAAAAAGAAAAAAAAGGAGATTTGACACAATATAATTTAAATAGAAGATAAGAGCAATTTACATTCCATAAGAAAATTTAAGTTGATATTTCATCATGGTTAGCGTGCTGTTCAGACAGTAAATCATGCTTTATTTGATTGGGCAAGCTGTTGACAGGTATGAATTTTAGGTATACTGAGATATCATCCCATGAAGTAGATGCCAAGAGACAGACTACAATTGTAGTTGCCTTCTGAGTTGTTGTACGCTTTTTGTGTATACAAATTTTGTTTAGAAAGACACTGTGTTATAATTTATTATCACTTTGATTTATAAAAACTGCCTGACCTTTCTTGTCTTAACCCTTTACCTACTAGCATCACTATCTATATGCTCCATACTGTTAACTATACATTTACCATGGTGCTGGTAAAGAGAATTTGTTTAATAATCAAGAGCTGCTGTAGTTGATGATCATTTCCTCTCTATTCTCATGACCTAAATGGTTGATTCAAGGGTGATATTGTGAGGAGAAATAAGATGTTAGACACTCTTAGGGGTTAAAGGGTTAAATTAATAGCAAGGAATAATAGGAAGATTTTTTTATTGCAGGCTCCTGCCCCCAATCCAGCCCTACAACCAGGTAACATTTTATTAAGTTTTATTCAATTTCTATCACTTTCACTGCTGTCAAGCACTCCACTGACCTTCTTTAACGTTGTAACTCGCTTCTTATTACCAGTAACCAATAGGCTGTCATTCCACTGCTGAAACATTTTTTTAAAGTTAAGTTTTGGCACTTACCAAAGTATTTTGTTTCAGACCTCCTGGGTACAGAGACAATAGTTTCAAAGCCTTTGACAAATAACTTCGGACCTCCCGAGACAGGAGGAGGTGGACTTCTCGTAGACGTGTTTGAGATGCCTCCAGCCCCCATGGCAGGGAGTGCTCCATCCATCACCCCAGGGGCAGAGGAAAATCTCAAGAAGTGAGTTTCTGTATAATCTAAAATCCTCTCCACAACGGCCACGTTGGGGAGAGCAAAAAAATGGCTATTGTAGAGGGTGACTGTTATGGAAAGGTATCGGTGTAACAAGAGACCCGGTATTCGAGGCTATATTTCCTTTTGCTATAAAATGTTTATTGTAGCTCATAAATGTGCAGTCCAATGAAGATATATCAGCAGGAAATGAAAAATAGCTCTGAAATGAAAATTTTATTGCTGAACTTCAGCAATAACAAATTTGATACTGTTTAGATCTTTGATCAACCATTCGTTAACAGGTCGTACAAGGGAGGTGGCCGTTATTTGAAGTTGTACTTCACATATTTAATTTTTTGATATGTGCTCTTTGCATTATCAAACAACTTTTGGGATGAATTTATGTAACATCAGAAGCATGTTGTAGACAGTGAAGAGGTGATCTTGGTAGTCCAAGAGTCTATTAGATGTGTGTGAAAAACACTAATGACTTGTTGCAGTCCTCTAAAGATGATTAAACAAGACTTACTAAGATTTCCCACAATTTTTTTGAACAGATTTGTGTGTAAAAACACTGGGGTTCTTTTTGAAACTGACATCCTACAAGTTGGTATCAAATCGGAATTCAAAGACGATAAAGGTAAGTAGCTTTTATCTCAATATAGAAAACCTCTGCTGTTCAAATGCTTGGTTTTCCATCGGTCCAAAATCGGTCACAGAACCACAGGTCAATGTTATTAGTACCAATTTTGATTTTCATATGCGTCGTTATTTTTCTATTCTATGTTTTTTTCCTGTCTTTTTTTTCTTAATGCTAACGTGTTGTTGTTTTTTTTCTAGGGGCTCTTGGTGTGTTCTATGGCAACAAGACCTCATCCCAGTTTGTTTCGTTTTCTTCCATGGTCCACTTGCCGGGAGATCTTAATACTCATATCCTTTCAGTCAAAGGCGCTCATGTTGTTGTTGAGTTTAAGCAAAACATTCACAGCAACGGTAACAGGAAACGGCAAAAAATGAGCTGATTTTTCTCATCTTGCCAATAATCCTTAGATCAAGTCTGTAGAAAATTAGAAAATACTTATTTGTCCAAATTTAAAGAAAATGTTTTGGGTTAAGTCTACAAACGGCTGAAAGACGAGAGGGAAAAGTTTCTTTTCTCCCCGTTTGTCATTTGCCCATAAACATTTATTGTGGTGGATTGCAAAGCATTAGCCCTGTGTCTGGCAGGAGATGTGGTACTTTTTCTAATGTTGTGATAATGATACCACGCGAAACTCCGGCAGACTTGGTAGACTTGTATACTTTATGCTGGCTGGGTGTCCTGTGGTTAAGATTTGTCTACAAATCTTGAGAATCCATTTCTAGAGCGAAACTTGAGTCAAAATCTTTTTTCCCCATTCCACTTAACATTTTAATGACTCAGTTTATTTCTGAAGAATTATCAGACGCACAGGGACCTTTCATACGTTTAGTTTGCATCCTTGACTTTGTTCACACATCAAAGTTGACACCAATTCTCCTCCAAACATTGTGGAGGGCGGAGCACAAGTCAAACAGATGATAAATGTAGAATGTATCTCAGAATTCAAAGACCATCCACTCATAGATCTTCAATTCGGGTATGTTTCTTTACTACGTTTACTTGTAAAGGTTTCTAGGTTAACCTATTGATTTACACTACTCAATTTAAGTATCGCGCAAGACAGCTTTGAATCTGATTGGTCGAGAAACTGGCAAATATTTCCAAGAGCAATCACTAAGCGAAGTAAAAGAAAATTGTAACAAATCGACAGTGGTTTAGCGCGGTCTGTGTCGTTATCGACAACTATATTCGCCATCACAGTGGTTAAAATGTTATGGACTCACGAGGCGCAGTGATAACGCTTTTGTCACAATATCGACGTCAAATAAAACGATTCTTTTTAGTGCGTGACACGTTGACGTGAACAGTGTTGTCGGTACTCTTAGTGACAACGGCAAATTGGCCAATCAGATTGCGCCATTACAGCCACTTGTGGTTAAAAAGTGCAATCCCGGATGAGTTCCGGCTCTTTATTGAAAATGGCTCAAATGACAAACGCCTAAGAGATAAGAATGGGCCAAAGGTAAAATAGGAAGGTTTAGACTGGGAATTAACAACACAGATTACAAGTCATGTATTTCACTGATCTTTTCGGTTTTTTTTTTTTTTTTTCTGCCGTATTTTGTACCCCTTTCTTAATGAAGGGTATGATTACTATTCTTTTCTGTGCATGCTAATCAGCCCTTTTGGCCTTGTTTGTGGGCGAAAATTCTATCGTTTTCACACATACTGTCGAGGCCAGATAAGCAATTAGGCCAACCATTTATGAATGAAGTCTATTTGTCAGCCGAAATACGTTGGAGAGCCCTACTCAAATAATAGAAAACGTACAAATACTTTTCTCACTATTTTTAGAATAAACCATTTCCTTTTTGCCTTTCTCTTTTTAGTGTGAACGGCACGAGCCAAAGAATTGTCCTTCCAGTCCCACTGTTTCCTTCCAAATTCTTCGCGCCGACAGATATGAACTCGCAAGACTTCTTTTCCAGATGGAAACAATTGGGAAAGTAAGTAGATTTGTTGTAGTTATGGATCTTCGCTTGAATTAGGAATGAAAATAAAAATGGGAGGAATGGAAAGTCTTAACGTATCAGTTGTCTTTCATTAAAGCTAAACTACACAATAACTCAGCGGGAGCTCCTTTCAGCGGAAACCCCCAGGACTGGAGGAAGCTTCCCTAAAAAGTTCCCTAAACGTTTTTGGCTCTCGAGTGGAAAAATCCCCTTAATGGTGGTACCCCACTGTCTTAGAGTGCTTCATTTGAAAGCGGAGTGATGTTCTTTACAGGTAGATCACATGCCTTCTAAGTACAGGGTCAGCGCTTCTACTGAATGATCTACGAAGCAGCATCTGAATAACTGATTCTTGGCCGGTATCTACAAGGCACAGGCTCGAGTCCCGTGGAGGCCTTACTTTTTCCGGCTTAATTGCATGTAAAATGGCCTCATGTGTTAGTGAGATTCACAGGTCTTGCTCCAGTTATTCCTGTAGTATTGTTTTCTGACCTAGTTTAAGTTCTTATTCGTCATTTCATGTTTCAGCCCGGATCAAGAGTGTCAGCAGATTTTTAAGGCTAAGTTTCCAATTGATACAGAGACAATTAAGACAAAGGTTAGTTATCAGAATGCCACCCTCAGTCAGCGTAGTTCCCTTAAAGCTGTTGCAAAACTTAAACGACTCACTGGGGCAAACACTAGCATCACTGAGCATCTGCAAATTGTATGAAAAAGGAATCCTATGTGAATTTGAGTGACAGTGAACAGGGCGACAGGAAGACAGGCCACAATATATAACTAGTGGAGACAGGAGACAAGTAGAATGATGGAGAAGGAACATTCAAACTTGCATTTAACGAAAGTAGAGGGAAAGCAAGAACGCAACGGGGGTAACCTTGGGATGGATTAGTATCCCTTTAAAGGGGGGAGGGTGGGTAGCAATACTCCTAGTTTCTTCATGCCCCTCGGAAACTGGGATAAGGTCCGGCTGGGTGGACCAATGGGCTCGAGTCCAGACTTTACCTTTAACTTATTGGTTTAAACAGATATATTCTATACTCTGATCGGTTGGAGCCTGCTGAAGGGAATTTCATTCAGGTTGTTTAAACTACAGTTACTACCACTTACAACAGTGCTTTTCAGGATTAGCCTCACCCGGACGATCAGACAACACCTTCAAAACGAGTTTCGTTGCTTACACAATTTCTGTCAGCATCATCATGTAATTCCTATATCAGTAGTTTCTTTATGTGATAACTTTTTGTCTGGTGTCTTTCAGCTCGTTGGCTTTGGAGTTTCCCTACTTCAGAATGTAGACCCTAATCCGGAGAACTTTGTGTGTGCCGGTATAATTAAAGGATCAACCGTTCAAATAGGAACACTGCTTCGACTAGAACCTAATAGACAAGCTCAAGTAAGCAGAACTCTTGTTAAATTTTCTTTTAAAAGTTTGAAAGTGTCAAAAGTATAATTATCTGCTAAGGGGGTTATAGCATGGCTGAAAATTATCTTCAAGAGTTGCGATGTGGAAATTTAAGCTTTTAACAGAGTGATTGCTTTCCTTTTCAGATGTTTAGACTGACAATAAGAAGCTCAAGACCACATGTGGCCACAACTCTAGTAGAGTTATTGGTAGATCAGTTTTAAACCTGTTTTCCAGGTAGAGAGATTCGCACGGTGCATCTGTCATAATACAGTGCATCTGGAGTAAACCAGTCTTTTTGTGAACCATTGGGGAGATCATTTTGATCAGCCCATCTACTTCATTATCTTCTGATGCCTTACATGTGTTGTAATATACATGTGTTGTAAGAGAGCTTTACCATTGACTTAAGACTGTAATTTAGTTTTTGACGTAACACTTTCTTATAAACCCCGTGAATCTCCTGTAGTGTTCCTTAGCCAATCAGAGCGAGGGTGAGGGCGACTTCTTTTCCTGTGCTGTGGTTGGTTAAGTCTTCAGTTCTAGTTGTGGCATGTTGCCATTTCCTCAGTTGAGTAAAGAAGGAAAAATTATCAGCCCAACAAGCAAGGTATGATCATTTAGCCTGCGCTTTCTTAATAATTGCGAGCTTGTAACACAAAACAGTCCGCCTGATTTAGTTGTGTGACATACCGCAAACGTTCTGATAAGCCCCTCCCTTTCCTACCCCACTCCCCTCCCCCTTCCTACCCTACCCTACTCCCCTCCGAAAAAGTATTAAGTAGTGGCAGTATTGTCGTTAGTTGCGTGTTAGTAAGTCTGGTAGGCTATGCAACATTCAGTCGTTTTCGAAAGCTTGCATTGGTTTTCGTTTTGAAAATCGTAGGTTTTCAATCAGAGAAATAAGTTTTTTAGTTGGTAAAAAAAACATGTACTCGTATTTTGCCCCACAATGAGGTTTTGTTAGTCCACCCACCCCCCTTCACCTTCTTCAATGAGCCTCCCGTCAGAGGGTCCCTGGAAATTGATATGCTCCAAGGACTTATAAGAGTGTTTGCGGTAGTCCTTGACTTGAGGATCAACCACAGGCGAGAGTTACTCCATTTATGCAGATGTACTTTCCTTACTCTATCACTTCAGAATTACAATTGCAATCAAGTTTGCATTGAGCTAGAATTTTTGCGCTCATTACAATATTCTAATTGAAGGAGAAAGCTCTACTGAATGATGGTAAAGCAGCTATTATCTGGCCCAAAAAAGCTATTTTAAAGTTTTCTTTAAAACCCACACTTGCATGCGTAGTTGTTAGTTGTGCTTATATTCCTTTCCTACTATTAAAATAATTTTTTTCTTTAAGGATGTACGATTAAATATTATTGCCATATGATTAATTTTTTTTAGGTAGTAGGTAACATTAAAAATCACAGAACGGTAAACTCTCTGCCGTGTTCTCGATCCTTGGTGGCTTGTAAGTGTAAAAGTAATGTAGGTATCATTAATTTTTTTTTCGATCGTAAAAGCGTATCTTTTAGTTAAGATGGCTATTGTTTGCGGAAGACAGTTTTAAGTAAAGATTAGGATAATGGGGATTGTACTATATGATCCAAAGTTGTGAGGTATTTTACTCTAGCAGTAATTGTGATTACTAAAGCAAGCTTTTACATGTAAGAAGAGCCTGCCTGTATACATCTAGGATTTTTTTATAAGAAAAAGAAAGGACGAAAAGAAAGAAGAACGATGAACATTTATCAAACTCAAGTACTAGGCGTGTAGCTGCCGAAATAATGCCTGACGCTAAATAAAAGTACCACGATGGTTACTTTGTTACTCGTGTTGTTCTTTTGACAATGCTACTGCCGTTCTCACACCTCCTGATTCATCACTTACTGGTTATGTAAAGATGTTAAAGGAATGGTAAAGAGGTTTTTTTTTTTGGGGGGGGGGGGAGAGATGGCATTGCTAGGTGGTAAACTGAGATAAAGGTGAAAAAGACTTATGTTCAGTCGCTTATTGGTTTAGTAGGAGCGTCAACTCTTGTTCGAGAGGTAAAGGGTCTATTAATGAGTTATTAAGTGTTTGATTTATTAATTCAAGATGGCGGCGAACACGATGATTATTTCAGGTAAAAGCCGATGACGATCTAAAAAGCTGAAAATCTCGAAACTTCTTGCCTCAAACTTTCAACTACGGTTTGACTTTTAGTGTGTTTAACACACTAAACTTGGATGTTAACCTCTATTGTTTGTATGCAGACTCGTCCTGTGGGTTCGTCGAAATATGGCACAACTCGTAAAATACTCCGCGACACTACATACTAAAACGTCCAATAAGATATATGTATCTCACGCACAGCAGCAGCAGGGCACTATCTAAATTTTGATGTAGTAATCCCTCAAACAAATGCACATTACGTGCACGACTTTTAAAAGGATTGGTTTCATCAGTTACAGACATACGAAGCAAGAGAGACAAAGTTTTCTGTTCCTGTTTTAAGGTGCCTTTTATGAGTTGATTAGACCAGGAAACAGTTACAAGCGTTCAACACAATTGATTGTTATCGTGTACAACATATAATTTAAAAGATTTCTAAGCTGTAATGTGGCTTTGGTCTAAGCTTTCTACAGTTTTCAAAGAAACTAAGTTTTAAACAGTCACTCCATTTAAGAAGGCTCCATAGGGTTTTTGCTCTTTTCTTGGTCACCAAGTCATCAGAAGGTGATGAGCAAGGCTCGGACCATCGTTTACTGTAGTCAATACTAACAAAATGATTTTTGTTCTTAAGCTAGGGCCCCACGAAGGGAGGCGCTCGCCAGCGATAATTTGACTTTGCCTTTGATTTTCTTCAATTTTCTCCGGTGAAATCTCTCAAAAGTTTCACAATTTGTGAAATTTGTCTTGCCGATCATTTAAAAGCCGAGAAAAATAGGGGTTACATAGGCATTTTCCTCACTATTTGCAGTTTTATGTTTTCTTCCTCTGTCTCGAATTTGGTCTCATGAATTCAGTTTCTATCAACAGGCACTAGGGAGGCTAAAAATATCTTTAACAGTACAGTAAATCATAGGAAATTCCATCGAAGGAAACCCGATAAATCTTGCTCGAAAGATCCCTATTTTCTTTGTCATGCATACACTTTCCAATCTGTCGCCTTCTGGCAATCTTTCCCGCGATATTTTCTTTTCGGTTGACCTCTTTTTCAGGCGTAGGAGGACTATGAATGTTACGGGTGCAGTTGCTGGAAACCCTAGATTCCATCACATAAAAACTGTATTAAGTTAAACTTTTTTTAACATACCTTTTCAGAAAACAATCGTGCGATCATATCGAGCCGTCACTTTTAAAGCTCGCTCTATGTTCGTACCTAGATCTCGCGCGGTCAAAAAACCCTATGGAGCCTCCTTAATTAAGAAAAGATACTTGGAGTTAACTTACTGTTATTTACTGTACCACTTCATATTTACAATGGTAAACAAGGAAGCACTCGAATTGGAATATTTGCCTATAATTTTCTCCATATTTGAGATGCGCCAGTTACAACTATTGAATACTAGCCAATCAGCCGAACGTAATGGTTCATTAGGTGACTCGTATCCAGAAACCTAGTGATACTCAGAGGGAGTAACAACATCGTGAGAAAAACCTACTTCAGGAGAAGTTTCCACTGAAAGTTAACTAACTTTATATTACAGATAACATTCAGCACTTTTATCCTAATCTTTGAGAAAAGGCTTGCTTTGAAAGGAATGGATGAACAAATTGAACAGCTAACTTTCTTCCGTAACCGTATGATTAAAAACGATCATCGCTCCAAAGGGGTTCTTTCAATCCTAAGAAGCCGCCTCTTTGAGCTCCCGTCTTCAACTAGTTCTGGGCAAAGTATGTACAAGTTTTCCATCACTGCTGTGGCGTACCTCGATTTTCACAGCATTACGCAACCAGGAGATTCCCCCTGAATAAGATGTTAGTTCATCGACATCAGGCCGCCACGTCTTCTACTTTCATCTTGAAGGTCTAACCAAGGGTTTAATACATATGTCAGCATTTTTTTCTCTCTACAGGTTGTTCCTATCTAAGGAATTCTACGTAACGCCCGGAATTTGTATCGAGAGGTCCTGGACCTATCAAGGGCATCCGCTCGGGGACGAGGCTGTGGTTTAATGCTGTCATCAATGACGTAACATCCATCGGGGGTTTCGTTTTCTTTTTTCCACTGACCATAGATAACTTCTTTCTGTGATTGTTTCCACTGATGGTCATATTCGGCTGGGGACGAAGGCGGTATGCCAAAATTTGATATGTTAGAAGATGAGATACGATCATCGACTGAACCTTGGTCTGAGGGACAACATGCCATGGCAACTAAGACCTCATAAGGTATACGGGACAGCCATTCTTTCCATTCGTGTCCATCTGATTCGTTTACCTGAGAAGAAAGTATCAAAAAGTCGAGTCACGTTGATGGCCTTTTCAAACCGTCTGAATCTCGATATCTTTCAAGCTTATGGTCATTAGAACCACAGAAATTAAAGCTCTATCTACGCACATATATTTATAGTCGTCTAAACGGTGCCGGTAAGCTACGTAAATTATTAAGGTAGAAAACATTTTCAGCATAAATGAACTGATAAATGAATAAATGCTCTTCACTGATGTTTTCAACCGGGGTCACTGGCTGTGAGAGTTTTTAAAAGAAACAGAAGTATCTCGGACACAACAAGAGCAGGCCAAGACTCTTACGACCAAAACTTCACGCCTCCGATCCACAAATTAAGGAGAAAATGTGTACGGTTAAGTCGTAAGACCTTTCTGGCAACATTTTTTACTGGCAAAAGTTTTTTTGCCGCTCTCCATAGCGCGAAGAGAATAAGAATATTGCTACTCTCCCCTGGATGGGATGTAAGTTCACGCGGGTAGACTAACGACTTGGCCGTCTATTCAGTATTCTCCTTTTCAGGCGGTAACCGGTAAATTTTACTGCCTGTTATACTGCTTATTACCGCCTAGTATCTCTTGGAATTTGTGAAAATGCAATAGATAAAAGTATTGCCCTAACGGTTTTAAAAATTTTTTTACCTGTCGTGCTTAAAGTGAGAGAGAACTCTGACATATCCTAACACAAATAGGAATTAAAAATTACATTGAAATAGCTCACCAAATTGGACGAGTTCATGGAATTTTTTCTTCCCATCTTTAAACACTTTAAATCTTCCTCTACTCGAATGAGTTGTTCTCTCAACGCATTTATTTCCGCGGTGTTCGATTCGTACTTCTCTTGGTACTGTTGTTTGCTTTTTTCCTCGATTTCGTAAAAGGCCTTCAACACTTCATCCCAACTCTTCAGTTGAGGTAGCTCAGAAACAGTTTGGTCTCTCTCCATCTCTAGCTCACGATTCCGAATGGTGAGGTGTTCAACTGTCTTACAATTGCCTTGCAGCAGGGATATCGTTTCTGATAATTTCGTGGATTTGCATTGTTCCTCTTCAAAAATCTGTGACAGTTTTTTCATCTCGTTGAGCAGTTTTGCATTCTTCGCCCTTTCTTCATCAACTTGACTTTTCAACTTCTTGATTTCCTCCACGGCGGAAAGTAGCTCCCCTATTATTGCCTGCACTAGTAGATTTTGTAAAAAGTTCCGATTAACATCCGAACCAATTCCTCGAGACGAGCCAAAAATCAATTCCTCGAGACGAGCCTTGAGTTGTTGGTCCTCTTTCAAATGAATGTTAAGGATGTCTACGCCACACTGGGAGGTGAGACCTACAAGTCAAGCCAAATGAAGATGATCGACAAGACCACAATTGATAGCGTTGAATTTTGGTTTAATCGAAGGGATTTTTTTTTTCACTGCGCCGTGCCGGGCACAGGCCATGCAGAACCATGGAAAACCTCTCTTACGGTAGCGCTAAGATTTATTAAGATTTTTCAAAGCCGTTGGCATGAAAGCTGTTTAAAAAGGATTCCATAGTATCAAATGTCCCCCTTAGATGTTGGCTTCATTGAGGAAAATATTGGAAAAGTTCTCGTTTTTAACAGAAAGCCAAACTTATTATGTCAGTAATTAACTCCCCGGAAGTTAATCACTGACATAATAAGTTTGGCTTTTTACTTCAGTTAATTTTTCAGTTCTTTGCGTGAAGAGAATGTTCTAGAATAATGTTGGTCAAGAGCGGTTTCTGGAGTTCCTGAGGATAGTTTTGGACATACCATGCAGTCGAGCGAGTGCATACTCTTTTACGATGTACTCGAGACATAAAGCCTCATTTATGGGGCTTAAACGTCGTTGATGCGTCTTTGAGAAGCGAAATTCAATTACTGTGGGCTAGAGTAGGGACAAATCTCATGCGTGGAAATTGAACTCTTGAAAATTAGTTCTTCAAATTCCAACCGACGGGGCCAAAATTATGTTCAAATGCCCTGCCCAAGTTCATTTTTCTTTTTTGAAAAATGAAAACTCGGGCAACTCACGGGTATTTTATTGTCGTCCATGCCTGGGGAATGGGAAATTTGAACCTTACATGGGTGGGGTGGGGAATTTGAACTGGAAATGTAAGTCTTTTTAGAGGGTTAAAGAAGTAAAGGTCTGCAAGGTCTAGAGTTTTAAAGCTCGGTTAATGAGTGGAAAGTCACGGATTTGAATTTGTTTTGTCGATTTGACAAACTTTTCAAAAGCGATTTGTCTAAAAGATATCGATTCTGAATATTTTCTTGGATTTACAAAACATTTTTGGATTGTCCCTCTCGGCTTCCGTACCTCTCTTATCGCCATCAAAAAGTAAGTAAAATATGGTTTCTTAGGTCGTGGGTCTTAATTTCCGTTTTCGCTACAA